ACATCTATATCAGAGCTCCCTGCCATCCAGGACCTCTATATCAGAGCTCCCTGCCATCCAGGACAGCTATATCAGAGCTCCCTGCCATCCAGGACATCTATATCAGACGGTGTGGTAGGAAGGCCCTGAAAATCATTAAAGTCTCCAACCACCCAAGGCATAGACTGTTCTCTCTGCATCTGCACGGCAGGCGGTACCGACGCATAAAGTCTTGAACAGCTTCTATCCCCAAGCAATAAGACTGATAAATAGCTAACTAAAGAGCTACTGTGCCTTGCAAAAGTATTCATCCCCCTTGGCGTTTTTCCTATATTGTTGCATTACAACCTGTAATTTAAATTGATTTGTATTTCATGTAATGGACATACACAAAATGAAAAAAATAATTTGTTTCAAAGAATTCTAAAAAATAAACAACGGAAAAGTGGTGCGTGCATATGTATTCACCCCCTTTGCTATGAAGACCCTAAATAAGATCTGGTGCAACCAATTACCTTCAGAAGTCACATAATTAGTTAGATTGCACACAGGTGGACTTTATTTAAGTGTCACATGATCTGTCACATGATCTCAGTATATATACACCTGTTCTGAAAGGCCCCAGAGTCTGCAACACCACTATGCAAGGGGTACCACCAAGCAAGCGGCACCATGAAGACCAAGGAGCTCTCCAAACAGGTCAGGGACAAAGTTGTGGAGAAGTACAGTTCAGGGTTGGGTTATAAAAAAATATACGAAACTTTGAACATCCCACGGTGCACCATTAATTCCATTATTAAAAAATGGAAAGAATATGGCACCACAACAAACCTGCCAAGAGAGGGCCGCCCACCAAAACTCACTGACCAGGCAAGGAGGGCATTAATCAGAGAGGCAACAAAGAGACCAAAGATAACCCTGAAGGAGCTGCAAAGCTCCACAGATTGGAGTATCTGTCCATAGGACCACTTTAAGCCATACACTCCACAGAGCTGGGCTTTATGGAAGAGTGGCCAGAAAAAAGCCATTGTTTAAAGAAAAAAATAAGCAAACACGTTTGGTGTTCGCCAAAAGGCATGTGGGAGACTCCCCAAACATATGGAAGAAGGTACTCTGGTCAGATGAGACTAAAATTGAGTTTTTTGGCCATCAAGGAAAACGCTATGTCTGCGCAAACCCAACACCTCTCATCACCCCAAGAACACCATCCCCACAGTGAAGCATGGTGGTGGCAGCATCATGCTGTGGGGATGTTTTTCATCGGCAGGGACTGGGAAACTGGTCAGAATTGAAGGAATGATGGATGGCGCTAAATACAGGGACATTCTTGAGGGAAACCTGTTTCAGTCTTCCAGAGATTTGAGACTGGGATGGAGGTTCACCTTCCAGCAGGACAATGACCCTAAGCATACTGCTAAAGCAACACTCGAGTGGTTTAAGGGGAAACATTTAACTGTCTTGGAATGGCCTAGTCAAAGCCCAGACCTCAATCCAATTGAGAATCTGTGGTATGACTTAAAGATTGCTGTACACCAGCGGAACCCATCCAACTTGAAGGAGCTGGAGCAGTTTTGCCTTGAAGAATGGGCAAAATCCCAGTGGCTAGATGTGCCAAGCTTATAGAGACATACCCCAAGAGACATGCAGCTGTAATTGCTGCAAAAGGTGACTCTACAAAGTATTGACTTTGGGGGGGTGAATAGTTATGCACGCTCAAGCTTTCTGTTTTTTTGTCTTATTTCTTGTTTGTTTCACAATAAAAAATATTTTGCATTTTCAAAGTGGTAGGCATGTTGTGTAAATCAAATGATACAAACCCCCCCAAAAAAATCCATTTTAATTCCAGGTTGTAAGGCAACAAAATAGGAAAAATGCCAAGGGAGGTGAATATTTTCGCAAGCCACTGTACACAGACTGTCTGAGTTAACCTTGTATCTTTATTGACCTTTTATTTCAGTATTTGCACAGTCTCTATGCTCACACACTCCCACGCGCTGTCGCTCCAACACAAAAACACTCGCTCCGTCATTTCCCCACTCACATATAACACGCACATACATTTATGCTGACTCTACACACACGCACACACACTCACATACAGTGCATTCAGAAAGTATTCAGACCCCTTTACTTTTTCCACATTTTGTTACGTTACAGCCTTTATTCTAAAATTGATTAAATAGTTTTTTTTCCCTCGTCAATCTACACACAATACCCCATAATGACAAAGCAAATTTCTTAAAAAATAAACAACTGAAATTACACATTTACATAAGTATTCAGACCCTTTACTCAGTACTTTGTTGAAGCACCTTTGGCAGCGATTACAGCCTTGAGTCTTATTGGGTATGACGCTACAAGCTTGGCACACCTGTATTTGGGGAGTTTCTCCCATTCTTCTCTGCAAATCCTCTCAAGCTCTGTCAGGTTGGATGGGGAGCGTTGCTGCACAGTTATTTTCAGGTCTCTCCAGAGATGTTGGATCGGGTTCAAGTCCGGGCTCTGGCTGGGCCACTCAAGGACATTCAGAGACTTGTCCCGAAGCCACTCCTGCGTTGTCTTGGCTGTGTGCTTAGGGTCGTTGTCCTGTTGGAAGGTGAACCTTCGCCCAAGTCTGAGGTCCTGAGTGACCATTGGATTCTTGGTCACCTCCCTGTCCAAGGCCCTTCTCCCCCAATTGCTCAGTTTGGCCGCGAGGCCTGCTCTAGGAAGAGTCTTGGTTGTTCCAAACTTCTTCCATTTAAGAATGATGGAGGCCACTGTGTTCTTGGGGACCTTCAATGCTACAGAAATGTTTTGGTACCCTTCCCCACATCTGTGCCTCGACACAATCCTGTCTCTGAGCTCTACGGACAATTCCTTCGACCTCATGCCTTGGTTTTTGCTCTGACATGCACTGTCAACTGTGGGACCTTATATAGACAGTTGTGTGCCTTTCCAAATCATGTCCAATCAATTGAATTTACCACAGGTGGACTGCAATCATGTTGTAGAAACATCTCAAGGATGATCAATGGAAACATGATGCACCTGAGCTCAACTTTCGAGTCTCATAGAAAAGGGTCTGAATACTTATGTAAGAGGTATTTTTGTTCTCTATTTGTAATAAATTTGCCTAAATTTCTATAAACATTTTTGTGCTTTGTCGTTATGGGGTATTGTGTGTAGATTAATGAGGAATTTTTTTTATTTAATCCATTTTAGAATAAGGCTGTAACGTAACACAATGTGGAAAAAGGGAAGGGGTCTGAATACTTTCCGAATGCACTGTACAAGCAGCTGCTACTCTGTTTATCATATATCCTGTTGCCTAGTCACCTTACCCATATATATATATCTACCTCTATCACTCCAGTATCCCTGTCCCCTGACCCCTATACATATCTACCTCCATCTCTCCAGTATCCCTGTCCCCTTACCCCTATACATATCTACCACCATCTCTCCAGTATCCCTGCACATTGTTAATATGGTATTGGAACTGACCCTGTATATAGTCACCTGACCCCTATACATATCTACCTCTATCACTCCAGTATCCCTGCACATTGTAAATATGGTACTGACCCTGTATATAGTCACCTGACCCCTATACATATCTACCTCCATCACTCCAGTATCCCTGCACATTGTTAATATGGTACTGGAACTGACCCTGTATATAGTCACCTGACCCCTATACATATCTACCTCCATCACTCCAGTATCCCTGCACAGTGTTAATATGGTATTGGAACTGACCCTGTATATAGTCACCTGACCCCTATACATATCTACCTCCATCACTCCAGTATCCCTGCACATTGTTAATATGGTATTGGAACTGACCCTGTATATAGTCACCTGACCCCTATACATATCTACCTCCATCACTCCAGTATCCCTGCACATTGTTAATATGGTACTGGAACTGACCCTGTATATAGTCACCTGACCCCTATACATATCTACCTCTATCACTCCAGTATCCCTGCACATTGTTAATATGGTATTGGAACTGACCCTGTATATAGTCACCTGACCCATATACATATCTACCTCTATCACTCCAGTATCCCTGCACATTGTTAATATGGTATTGGAACTGACCCTGTATATAGTCACCTGACCCCTATACATATCTACCTCCATCACTCCAGTATCCCTGCACATTGTTAATATGGTATTGGAACTGACCCTGTATATAGTATGCTTACTCACTTATTGCGTTCTTCATATTTCTTCTTATTTCTCGTGTTTTTTCTTCTTCTAGTGGTACATTGTTATGGATTATTGCATTGTTGGGGTTTTTTCAGGCCCCGAGGACTGGAGCTGACCGTCCCTGCTGTATGTTCCTCTCAGGGGAATTGTTGCTGTAATGGATAAGTTCCTTTATTTCCCTCAGCTGAGCTATAGAGGGCGCTGTTACAGCATTTTAACTCAGACAGACACGCTGATACTGACCACATACAAGGGTGATTCAAATAATCATATTTTTTATTTCAGAATTCAGTGTTATTCGATCTGTGTTACACAGAGGTAGTTATAATTCTCCCTTTTTAACCCGTTTTGAAGGATCAAGGAAATGTTCGGAAAAGCTCTTACCTTGTTTGTACAATGAGTACCATTTTAGATAAATACAAATATCCCTTGTCTTTATAAGATTGCTGGTCTGTATCTGCAATGTTATTTGCTTGATTATCAACACGAAATACATTTAATACAATAAAAAGAAGAAGAAAAAACATTCAACAACAACTCAACAATCGCTGTACTTTTCGCCATTCGCTCGCGAGCAAAGCTGTCCCCCATGAACTGGAATGAATTGGTGGAACCAAGATATGGCAACGTTCCTGGGTCTCAGACATCAGTTCTATGCTGCTCCGCTCTGCCACACATCATTGGCTAGTTTATCCCATTCCACAGTGAGTGATACCAGTCAGCCATCGTCAGAAGTCGGTCTCATGTGTTCTGTCTTTCTGTCAGTCTCTACCTCTGTCTCTGTCTCCCCAGTCCCTCCAAACATAGCTGTTAGGTCTTTAACACTGTCTGTCAGTCTCTACCTCTGTCTCTGTCTCCCCAGTCCCTCCAAACATAGCTGTTAAGTCTTTTACACTACTGAATGACTTGGGTCTCTGCACGTAGTCGCCTCTGGTCTTCACCTTCCTGGGGTTGGTGTTCAGGCTCTTAGACCTCAGTGATGGATACATCCTGTCCTCTGCCACAAGCAGAAGGCCTCCACCAGTATCTTTGTCCTCCGCTTCCTGCTTCTCCTCACCGCCATCTTTGTTGCTCTTCCCTGGCTCCTGTTGTTCACCGTCTGTCGTTGTCTCCTTGACCTCTGCCTCGTAATTCGTATCGGTGGTGGGGGGGGACTAGCTTCTCCATGGAGACTTTGGGCGTGTGGCCGAACGGGCAGGGGTGGACTTTGTACTCGAAGCGGGCTGCCCAGCGACCCATGGTCGGAGATCTGGAGGTACCCATTTCCTGCTCCCCTGTGAGGGGGTTGTTGACGTCTGTGGCCCAAGTTTCCCCCTCATCTCCCCCATCGGCTGGGTTGTACACCATAGCGCTCCTGGATCTGGGCCTGGAGGTCGGACAGTCACTGTGGGTCTCTGGTGGGTGGTACTGCAGGGACCTGACCCTCCCCAGGGGGTATGAGACGGCTGCTTCTAACTTGATCTTCTCCATGGTCACCCCTGCCTTCTCCAGGGCTGCGTCCAGGGAGGCTACAGGGTTGGGCTGTGGAGAAGACCCTGTAGGAGGCTCAGGCCTCTGGGTTTCCTTCTGCCCAGAGATCAGTCTATCCACACTGGAGCTGTAATGCTTCCTCTCTCTGGGCCCCACCACATCTAACGTGGCCCCGTACTCCTTCACAGGGGCCGTGGTGCTGGTCGTGGTTTCTCTCATACTCCCTTTCCTCTCAACCGCCAACCTCTGGCTCCCTTTCCTCTGGCTCCCCATCCTCTCAGGGCTCTTGATGTCCCCGGCCTCGGAGCGGGTGTCATCTCCCATCTCCAGGTGGTACCGGTACAGGCTGTAGCCGTCAGAGCTGACAGACAGACAGACAGACAGACAGACAGACAGACAGACAGACAGACAGACAGACAGACAGGCAGGCAGGCAGGCAGACAGACAGACAGACAGACAGACAGACAGACAGACAGACAGACAGACAGACAGACAGACAGACAGACAGACAGACAAATAGATAATCAGTAAATATCATCCTCACATCATCCATAAACACTAGACTACTGTGCTGATAATCAGTAAATATCATCCTCACATCATCCATACACACTAGACTACTGTGCTGATAATCAGTAAATATCATCCTCACATCATCCATAAACACTAGACTACTGTGCTGATAATCAGTAAATATCATCCTCACATCATCCATAAACACTAGACTACTGTGCTGATAATCAGTAAATATCATCCTCACATCATCCATAAACACTAGACTACTGTGCTGATAATCAGTAATATCATCCTCACATCATCCATAAACACTAGACTACTGGTACTGATAATCAGTAAATATCATCCTCACATCATCCATAAACACTAGACTACTGTGCTGATAATCAGTAAATATCATCCTCACATCATCCATAAACACTAGACTACTGCGCTGTCCATGAATCACCAGACCATTGTCTTTCTCATCTAGAGTCCTTTAAATAAGTTATTAAACCTGTTGACGGAGCTGTGGCGGAGCAGGGAGGATGGGTCGCAGACTGAGGAGACCCCAGAGTGGGCCCTGACCAGGTCGTTGTGGTCCACCCCGGCCAGCTTCTCCAGGGCGTTCATCATACGTCCGGAGAACTCCTCCAGCTGACCCAGCCGGAGGTCCACCGTCTGCAGGGAAGCCTTCATGGAGGTCTCCCTCTCGTTCACCTCCTCCAGGCGCATCGACATGTTCTCCACCCTGAGAGGAACGAGAGTCAATAGTACCACAACTGTTGTTGGTTTTTTTACGCACCCTGCCCGACTACACCAAATGTATTGGTGGGGATTTACTGATAAATATGAACAACTGTAGCGAATATTTACATTTTTACATTTTTAGTCATTTAGCAAACGCTCTTATCCAGAGCGACTTATATTTAGTGAGTGCATCAATTTTTCATACTGAGACAGTTGCTTATTGCAACGTAAGCAGTCCACCAAAGAGGAAAGACCATATAGCTTGCCGGTCTCTCATAGAGCATGCAGACCTCTCAGATGTGACCCTGATGCGCTCGTCGTTAGACGACTGCTCCTCTTCCTCTTTCTCTCTGAAGTACTCCTCCACACACTGCTCCTCGAACTCATACAGAGCCTTCAGCTCCTCAGCATTCAGCAGCAGCTCTGTCAGACAGAGAAACACACGTCACACGCTGGAGCTGGGTCGGTGGAATTAAACTGCTTCGGAAACCCGGTAGAACGCACTGAAATCCGTCTTGAAGGACCAAAGCCAGCCAACCAGACAGCCAAACCAACCGGCTGGCCAGCCAGAAAACCCATTCGGCCAGCCAACCAGCCAGCTAATCAATCAACCAATCATTCAATCACTCACTCAACCAATCAATCAGTCAACCGATATCACCCAAAAACCCCACTGACGTAGTCCTTTGTTGTCCCTGTCGTCCTGCTCGCCCTCTGTCCTCCTCTTGCAGCGGCGGCAGACGTGCTTCAGAATGATGAAGACGTGGCTGAAGATGATGAGGGGCGGAGGGAGGAGGGGCCGGTCGTGGAACTTCATGATCAGCTGGTAGCGCTGGAACTTCCAGATCTGGTTGGAGACGGACTTGACCTCTAAGAAGGTGTTGCTGTTGGTCAGAGGTAAGGACGGACGAGAGGCTCAATCAGTGCGCTGCTTTTACCAACCAGGTCTCCTGCACAACACCACAACACAGTCAACTATACGTACGCATAATGCATCATGTAATGTGGTGACCGTGATTACCACGGCCTAAGGGAGAGAGTGTTCGTGGACCAGTTGGTAATGCGCCCGACTGCGGAAGGCCACGGAGTTGTGAGTTCGCTCCTCACTTCAGACCTCGTGCTGCTCCCCACCGCTTGGTTACACTGGTAGTCAGAAGTGGGATCCATGACTTACTTGAAGACAGCGATGAGTAAGTTGACCAGGAGGATGTTGGCCACCAGCAGGTAGCAGGCCATGATGGCTGGAGTGAGCCACGCTCCAGGGATACAAGGCGGCAGCTTCCTCCCATCTTCATCGTACATGTTATCACCGCATGGCGCTGGAAACACAGGCTCAACGTCAGGCTACAGTAATACTACTGCTACTACTAATACTAATACTAATACTAATACTACTGCTACTACTGCTGCTACTACTGCTACTACTACTACTACTACTCTAACTATAGCTACTACTGCTACACTACTACTGCTACTACTCTTACTACTGCTACTACTACTGCTACTACTACTACTACTACTACTACTAACTACTACTACTACTACTACTATACTACTACTACTACTACTACTACTACTACTACTACTACTACTACTACTACTACTACTGCTACTAACTAACTACTATACTATACTACTACTGCTACTTACTACTTGCTACTACTACTACTACTACTACTACTACTACTACTGCTGCTACTCTACTGCTACTACTACTCACTACTACTACTACTACTACTACTACTACTACTACTCTACTACCTGCTACTCTAACTACTGACTACTCTACTACTACTACTGACTACTGCTACTACTGCTGCTGCTGCTACTGCTACTGCTACTACTACTGCTACTACTGCTACTACTACTACTACTACTACTACTACTACTACTACTGCTACTGCTACTGCTACTGCTGCTACTACTACTACTGCTACTACTACTGCTACTAATAACTAGATAAGTACTTTTCCATGAAGAACATTGTGACTTGCTTCGGCAAGTAAAACTTTTTTTATAGTTTTACTTAAGCGAAGCAGTGAAATATAGTCAAAGTTAAATATATTAAAATATCTGGTCTGATTACTTTGATAGACTACCATGTCAACCTTATTACTTTGGAGGGAGGGGCAGTTTTTCTTTAACAATTTCTTTGTAACACGCTTTTCAAAAAGCCAAAGTGCCCTTCCAGCAGGGCACTAGCAACAACAGCAAGGATGGGTAAAACAACTTTTACATTTGCTGTATTTTTCAGCAAGGTGATTTGTCAAGTATATTTTGTGCTGCAGTAGTACATACTGAAACAGGTATATGTACTGTAGGATTGTATGAGGGCATAGTACAGTTAGATACTTACGATTGATTTCCATTGCATAGACTACCAATCAACGATGCGACGGAAGTGGAAAAATTGAGAGAGAGAGAGGAAGAAAGAGACAGAGAGAGACAGAGAGACAAACAGACAGAGAGACAGACAGAGAGACAGACAGAGAGAGACAGAGGGACAGGGAGGCCGAGAGACAGAGAGAGAGAGACAGAGAGACAGGGAGACAGAGAGACAGGGAGACAGAGAGACAGACAGACAGACAGACAGAGAGACAGACAGAGGGACAGAGAGACAGACAGAGGGACAGAGAGAGAGAGAGAGAGAGAGAGAGAGAGAGAGAGAGAGAGAGAGAGAGAGAGAGAGAGAGAGGAGAGAGAGAGAGAAGATAGAGAGAGAGAGAGAGAGAGAGAGAGAGAGAGAGAGAGAGAGAGAGAGAAGAGAGCAGAGAAACAGAGGAGAACAACAGTACAACAACCAAAACCAATAATCAACATGAGTCTGCCAAGAGGAGGACTTTGCATCTCTATTGAGTATGATTTGATTAAAATCATTTGATTCAATTTTATGCAATGTAATACAAAATCATTTCAATCATCCCTTCATTTTTCACTTTTGTAAGATTTATTTGATCCATTGTTTGTTCACCAATCAAATCTTTAATAATATAAAAGTTCCATTGCCATAGAATGTTTGGATCCATCCAATATTTCAGATCAGTAGTTAAATGGATTGGTTTTTTATCTCTGGATGATGTTTTGTGTATACTGTATAGAGTTTTATAATTGCTTGGATTGTACAGTTATGAAATGTGATTAGATGCTTCCATGCCGTCTGGTCTGTCTTCCTCTGGGCAGAGACTAAAACCCCTCCACCTCTATCATGTGACGCAGTGACGTCATCCCAAAAGGGCACCTTATTCCCTCATTCCCTCTGGTCAGAAATAGTGCACTATATAGGGAATAGGGGGCCCTTTGGGATGCACACAGTATCTCTAGCAGGCAGATGATCATTGGAAAAGGAGGACCAATCATTTTCCATTTGTTAAGAAAAAAACACACTTTCGTTAGTGGGATCACTTATACGGATAATTCAATATGTATCATTGGTAATTTACTTACACAAGCAATACATGGAGAGTTCATTTTATTGTTAGTAATAATTCATTTTAAATAAACCTGTCCCTAAAGTCTAATTGATTAAACTCAGTAGATGCATGTGACCAATCAAATGTATGAGGCCCTTACACACTGTCACCTGACCACACTGACCACCCACACGTGACCACCACCACACTGTCAACCTGACACCAACACACTGTCCATCTGACCGTCCCTACACACTGTCACCTACACCACACCTGTCTATATGTTTCACACACTTGCACAACAATGAAGCACACTGACACAACACACTGACTGCACAACACCTGTCACTGACACCAACGACTGTACTGACACCAACGACTGTCTATATGAGTCCCTTACACACTGTCACCTGACACCAACACACTGTCAACTGACACAACACTGTCAATGATCCACCATGTCACTGACACCACACAGTCTATGATCCCTTAACATAGGATTTGTCCAACCTGTCAACTGAACAACACTGTCACGACACCAAACCGTCAAACACAGATGTTCCCCTGACACAATACACGTCACAGACACCAACAGACTGTCACTGAACTGAACACGAACTAGACCAAACTAGGACTTTACAACAACTGACTGAACAACACACGTTAGGACAGAATCTTACAATGTCACCTGGACAACACACGCTATATAGGAGATATGGGTGGGAGAGCGGGGGGAGAGACAGGAGGGGAGAGGAGCAGGAGGGGAGAGAGAGGGTGGGGGAGGAGGAGCAGAGAGGGATGGGGAGAGGACGAGGAGGAAGGGAAGAGACACGAGGGGGAGAGGAGCAGGGCGGGGGGAAGGAGAACAGAGGGAGATGCATCAGAGACTACAGAGAATGGGACCAGAACACAGGGTTTGTTCCACTGGGATTGAGACTACAGAGATTAGGACCAGAACATAGGATTTGTTCCACTGGGAATGAGACTACAGAGATTAGGACCAGAACATAGGATTTGTTCCACTGAGATTGAGACTACAGAGATTAGGACCAGAACATAGGATTTGTTCCACTGAGATTGAGACTCCAGAGATTAGGACCAGAACATATGATTTGTTCCACTGAGATTGAGACTCCAGAGATTAGGACCAGAACATAGGATTTGTTCCACTGGGATTGAGACTACAGAGATTAGGACCAGAACATAGGATTTGTTCGACTGGGATTGAGACTACGACCACTATTCACAACCATCATGGGATTAGGATTGAATTGATCATCCGCCCATGAAACAGGAAACATCATCTTACTATTAATGTCACTCTTACGGTCTATGGAGTCAGCAAACACTTCCCCATAGATCATCCAGTAGGGCATGTAGAAGATGTTCCTGGCCAGACGCCATGTTGGGATCTCATCAGGGTGCAGGATGGCCTGCCGCGCCACGCCGAAACTCATCAACACCACCAGCATGATCACCACAAAGTACAACATGTCAATCATCTGGAGGGGACATAGAACACAACATGTCAATCATGTAGGTGACATAGAACACAACATGTCAATCATGTAGGTGACATAGAACACAACATGTCAATCATGTAGGGGACATAGAACACAACATGTCAATCATATAGGTGACATAGAACACAACATGTCAATCATGTAGGTGACATAGAACACAACATGTCAATCATGTAGGTGACATAGAACACAACATGTCAATCATGTAGGTGACATAGAACACAACATGTCAATCATGTAGGTGACATAGAACACAACATGTCAATCATGTAGGTGACATAGAACACAACATGTCAATCATGTAGGTGACATAGAACACAACATGTCAATCATGTAGGTGACATAGAACACAACACGTCAATCATGTAGGTGACATAGAACACAACATGTCAATCATGTAGGTGACATAGAACACAACACGTCAATCATGTAGGTGACATAGAACACAACACGTCAATCATGTAGGTGACATAGAACACAACATGTCAATCATGTAGGTGACATAGAACACAACATGTAAATCATGCAGGTGACATAGAACACAACATGTCAATCATGTAGGGGACATAGAACACAACATGTCAATCATGTAGGTGACATAGAACACAACATGTCAATCATGTAGGTGACATAGAACACACCATGTCAATCATGTAGGTGACATAGAACACACCATGTCAATCATGTAGGTGACATAGAACACAACATGTCAATCATGTAGGTGACATAGAACACAACATGTCAATCATATAGGTGACATAGAACACAACATGTCAATCATGTAGGTGACATAGAACACACCATGTCAATCATGTAGGTGACATAGAACACACCATGTCAATCATGTAGGTGACATAGAACACACCATGTCAATCATGTAGGTGACATAGAACACAACATGTCAATCATATAGGTGACATAGAACACAACATGTCAATCATATAGGTGACATAGAACACAACATGTCAATCATGTAGGTGACATAGAACACAACATGTCAATCATGTAGGTGACATAGAACACAACATGTCAATCATGTAGGTGACATAGAACACAACATGTCAATCATGTAGGTGACATAGAACACAACATGTCAATCATGTAGGTGACATAGAACACAACATGTCAATCATGTAGGGCCGATTCTATTCCTATTTTACTCCTGTTGATTTAAGCACTTCTCAGTAGTCGCTATTCAGACTTACCATATGCAGGTGCTTACCGGGCTTTGCAGGCATGGTTCCCTTGCACACACTGAATAAATTGAATTCAACTGCTGAAAACCCTCCCACTTGCTGGCTCAACAGATTTCCTTGTAGAGTTTTCATTCAATAGGGTTTTCATTACATTTATCTAAAGCCATCCCTTTAAATACAATGTATCTTTAATTAGAATTTTCTCTACAGACTCACTAGAATATATATCTGGTTCAGAATAATGATCAATGAAAGAAAACCATCTAAATACATGCATATTCGGCACCTTTTCAGCACCAATCAGCAGATTAAAAAGTATTTATGAATATAAATCTGGTTTGGAGAGCCTTTACGCAGTAAATATATTGGTGAATCAAAAATACAGTGGTTTGATTCTTCCTGAAAGTTGCCAAATTCAATTGTTCAAACCATGAAATATTGGAAGGTGAGAAAAGTGTACAACAGGGGTTGAACTGTAGTCCTATAAATCTACCCTTAATAATCCTCACTAATCATGGAACTGTGATGACAACGGTCCAGTCTTCGTGAACCGTGCGCCAGGCTCCAGGTTTAAACTGCTACGTATGGTCTGCATTCCATAATGATTCAAATAGGCTACATGTCCCAAATGATTACGTAACCTGTAATCCGTTAGCCTAACATGATCCACTATTGCTAACGATCCTCAGGAACAACCACACTAACGTGACAGAGGAAAGAACGGTAAACTAACGACGTAATGGAATGATGCAAAATTTAAGGAAACTAACACTAAAGTCAGCGACAGTTATAAATGTATGTGGGTATAACCGACGGTGGATACCGATAGTGGCTAATATTTAACACGATATAAATTATTTTTAAAAAATACTGTGAAAAAGTCTAGACACATAAGTAAAACATTCTAGAAATGATAAATCGAGTCGGTAGGTTTGCCGCTACACTGTCACCTTGGTTACAGAAGCCCATAGCTTGGGTCTTCACTTCGGCAAGTTACAAGGCCAGCATTTCACTGTGCTTCAGTTTGCTGCCATTTGACTGGTTTCACATTTTTTGGGGAAAATAATTCCTCATGAAGCTGGTTGAGAGAATGCCAAGAGTGTGCAAAGCTGTCATCAAGGCAAAGGGTGGCTACTTTGAAGAATCTCAAATATAACATATATTTTGATTTGTTTAACACTTTTTTGGTTACTACATGATTCCATATGTGTTATTTCATAGTTTTGATGTCTTCACTATTATCCTACAATGTAGAAAATAGTAATAATAAAGACAATCCCTTGAATGAGTAGGCGTGTCCAAACTTTTGACTGGTAGAGAAAATGTCATGCATGGTCAATCATTGGTAATGCAAAGGACACGTAATGACTTAACATGGGACTGATTTGACTTGTCAATCAAGAGCTAGATTATTAGAAGGTACTGCCCACTTTTCTGATCATTCTAACTTTAGATCAAGCGTGATCTACTCTAGCCACGACATCGACATAACACCTATGTTCTGGTACTTCCACACAGGTGTGGTTCCTGAGTGAATTAATCAGTTAACATCCCATCATGCTTAGGGTTATGTATAAAAATGCTGGGCAGGCCATTATTTTGGCTACCATGGCAATGCCCCCCATCCACAGGGCACGAGTGGTCACTGAATGGTTTGATGAGCATGAAAACGATGTAAACCATATGCCATGGCCGTCTCAGTCACCAGATCTCAACCCAATTGAACACTTATGATTCTGGAGCGGTGCCTGAGACAGCGTTTACCACCACCACCAATAAAACACCACATGATGGAATTTCTCGTGGAAGAATGGTGCCGCATCCCTCCAATAGAGTTCCAGACACTTATAGAATATATATCAAGGTGCATTGAAGCTGTTCTGGCTCGCAGTGACCCAACGCCCTATTAAGACACTTTATGTAGGTGTTTCCTTTATATATATATATACACATTTCATATTACAATAGCCAACCAAACCAAAGCTTCACCATTTTCCCGATCATCATGACGTATGGACCCAGGTACTTGTTGACCCCGAAGATGTCGAGCACCCTGATGTACCAGAAGATGATATCCACGCAGTAGATGACCCGTCCGATGCTCATCAGGGGCTCGTTCTGCAGCCTCAGCATCAGGCCCAGGAGGAAGGTAAAGATGGCCGCCGCGTCTGTGATGTTCCAGTACTCTTCGGCCCAAACGTTGATCTTCTGCTTCAGCTTCCCCGGCTCTGACATCAGGATCTGTATGGGGGAGCAACAGCAGGGACGGACTTGGATCAGGACTGAGAAATCGGCCTGTGCATAAGACCCCTACACCAGCCAATTATGTCCCTGGAAGCCCCCACATCGACCCATTTCTTCCCTGGAGGCCCCCACGCCGGACCTTTTTTCACTTGAGGACCCCACATACATTTTCTTGAATGTTTTAGACATTACCTTTCTAATTTCCTCCAGTCGCGGGGTGATGATGTGAGACGTTACCTGTCTGACCGTGATGATGTGAGACGTTACCCGTCTGACCGTGATGATGTGAGACGTTACCTGTCTGACCGTGATGATGTGAGACGTTACCCGTCTGACCGTGATGATGTGAGACGTTACCCGTCTGACCGTGATGATGTGAGACGTTACCTGTCTGACCGTGATGATGTGAGACGTTACCTGTCTGACCGTGATGATGTGAGACGTTACCTGTCTGACCGTGATGATGTGAGACGTTACCTCCCGACCGTGATGATATGAGACGTTACCCGTCTGACCGTGATGATGTGAGACGTTACCTGTCTGACCGTGATGATGTGAGACGTTACCCGTCTGACCGTGATGATGTGAGACGTTACCTGTCTGACCGTGATGATGTGAGACGTTACCCGTCTGACCGTGATGAGTGAGACGTTCCCGTCTGACCGTGATGATGTAGACGTTACCACGTCTGCCGTGATGATGTGAGACATTACCCGTCTGACCGGATGAGTGACGTTACCCGTCTGACCGTGATGATGTGAGACGTTACCCGTCTGACCGTGATGATGTGAGACGTTACCTGTCTGACCGTGATGATGTGAGACGTTACCGTCTGACCGTGATGATGTGAGACGTTACCCGTCTGACCGTGATGATGTGAGACGTTACCTGTCTGACCGTGATGATGTGAGACGTTACCCGCCTGACCGTGATGATGGTGAGACGTTACTGTCTGACCGTGAGATGTGAGAGAGACTTGAGACGTACCGTCTGACCGTGATGAGGGACGTTACCCGTCTGACCTACTGTCTGACCGTGATGATGTGAGACGTTACCCGTCTGACCGTGATGATGTGAGACGTTACCCTCTGACCGTGATGATGTGAGACGTTACTGTCTGACGTGATGAGTGAGAGTTACCGTTGACCGTGATGATGTGAGACGTTACCTGTCGACCGTGGATGTGTGACGTTACGTCTGACCGTGATGATGTGAGACGTACCCGTTGACCGTGTGATGTGGAGACGTTACCGTTGACCGATGATGTGAGACGTTACCTGTCTGACCGTGATGATGTGAGACGTTACCTGTCTGACCGTGATGATGTGAGACGTTACCTGTCTGACTGTGATGATGTGAGACGTTACCTGTCTGACTTTCTCCATTCCCAGAGTGATGATGTAAGAGATGACTATCCACTCCTGTAGGGACGGCCAGCGCTCCATCTTGACCAGGATGATGTAGTTGTATAAACACAGGTAGGCCAGGTAGGAGATCTGAGGAGACATGGAAACAGCTCTGAGCTTTTAGGAGAACGGAGATGGGGCAGCGGTGCCGTTTTAGGCCACAAAACAAAGTGCAGTCGATCGATATATAGTAATAATAATAATAATCACACGTCTTTAGATAATCTTTAGCTGATATTATACTGTATTATTATAATATTAAATAGTATTATATTATCTGTTCGACAAGGTCTATTTGTCACCTCTGTGCTGATATTCATTTCAAAACAACAAATCAAGGTTTTCACAATGTAACATTTCAAAGTGTGGGGTGTTGAGAAATGCTTTTCTAAATAACGTTTGTTTTTAGTTGTATCAAAAGTCTACTTGCAGTGTTGAACCAGAATTTGGTGAAAGGAGTATTGTAGAATTCATAGATCTTCTTTCTGATCGGAACTCTTCTCTTTGTCACCACGGTTTCTACTTCATCCCCAGTTTTGGACACTGCATCAGCATTCATTTCCTGGAAGCGTGGAAACAACTGTCATGAACTCACATACAGGACTTACAGTACATTTGAATGTAGTATTAAATGCAGTATTAAGTATGATTAAAAAAACAGGTCAACCAATCAACCAACCAATCAAGCAAGCAAGCAAACCAATCCACCGACGACCGACCAATCAACCAATCAATCAATCAATCAATCAACCAATCAGACGCTTGACTGTCAGTGTTCACCTTGCTGGATTTATTGTCATCGTCTTTGCCCTTTTCTTCGTCGCTCTCCACCGGGGCTTGATGTGTCACTTCTTCCCCGAGTCGAAAATCCATGAGGAGAATCGAAGGTGGAAAGATTATGCCAAATATCACCTGTGGTATGAGATGAGAAGAAGGAGTTCAGTTGAACAACTATTTTGTATAGAAGCACCAAAATGACACAAAACCACTCAATCTCAACCAGTTATTAGTTTATTACATATTTATAAACTATCTATAAACTAATTATTAACGGGCTATAAACTACTTAGAAATAATTTGCAAACCCCGTATAAAGTATACCTTTATGTAAAGTCTTACCATGTATACTCAAATGCTTAATACCTTAATGTTAAAGCTGCAAAATGTAACTTTTTGGGGACCCGACCAAATTCACATAGAAAGGTGATTATAGATCTGTCATCCTCATTGAAAGCAAGTCTAATAAACTGTAGATCTGTTCTATGTTCTACTATTTCTATGCTTCCTGTTCTTAAGTTTAGTTTTTGTGTCTTTTACTTTCAGTTTTGTACACCAGCTTCAAAACACCTGAAAATACAATATTTTTGGTTGTGGAAAATATATTTGACAGCAGTTTAGATGGTACACTGATTTTCTACACACTTGAGTGCTTGTTTTGTCACATAAACTGAAATTTGGCTAACTGTTAGAATTTTAGCAACCAGGAAATGGTGGAGCGATTTCTGCATCGTGCACCTTTAAGTGTTAGCTTAATGTAAAGTGATATAAAGTATATCTCAAGCAAAGTGTTACCATGTTGACTAATATACTTTACATTAAGTACACCTTAATGTTGAGCGTTAACATGTTCATTAATTGACTTTATAGTGTTACCAGTGTGTTAGCTTAATGTAAAGTGTTACCAATGTGTTATCTTAATGTAGTGTTACCAATGTGTTTGCTTAATGTAAAGTGTTACCAATGTGTTAGCTTAATGTAAAGTGTTACCAATGTCTTAGCTTAATGTAAAGTGTTACCAATGTCTTAGCTTAATGTAAAATGTTACCAATGTCTTAGCTTAATGTAAAGTGTTACCAATGTGTTAGCTTAATGTAAAATGTTACCAATGTCTTAGCTTAATGTAAAGTGTTACCAATGTGTTAGCTTAATGTAAAATGTTACCAATGTCTTAGCTTAATGTAAAGTGTTACCAATGTGTTAGCTTAATGTAAAATGTTACCAATGTCTTAGCTTAATGTAAAGTGTTACCAATGTGTTAGCTTAATGTAAAATGTTACCAATGTCTTAGCTTAATGTAAAGTGTTACCAATATGTTAGCTTAATGTAAAATGTTACCAATGTGTTAGCTTAATGTAAAATGTTACCAATGTGTTAGCTTAATGTAAAATGTTACCAATGTGTTAGCTTAATGTAAAATGTTACCAATGTGTTAGCTTAATGTAAAGTGTTATCAGTGTGTTGGCCTAATGTAAATTATAAAACTGGTTGTTTGAATCCTGGATGCTGGGGGGGGGGTTCTACTAAGCTATATGGAATTGTTTGAAGAAGGTCATACCAAGGATCATTTTGCTATTTGATTTTGAATTTGAAGACCTCTTGAAGTGTCCCCCCCCACAAAAAAATATAAAACAATTATTTGATGAGAATGTGTATTTGGCCTATGATTCACTACATGGAACAACAGATAGTACCCACAAAGAAATCTAAAGAAAGTTTGATCTGAAGAGAGATATTTGTTATTTTTTTGTACATCTATTTAACCCCTTATTTTTGGAACTAAACAGTCTCCATGTAAACTTCCATTCATTTTTTCAACTGGTACCGGGGGACCTTCAGATGAGCCTTGTGAGGCCTGTGGACGTCCTAGAGCTATACAGTGAGGGGGAAAAAGTATTTGATCCCCTGCTGATTTTGTACGTTTGCCCACTGACAAAGACATGATCAGTCTATCATTTTAATGGTAGGTTTATTTGAACAGTGAGAGACAGAATAACAACAAAAAAATCCAGAAAAACGCATGTCAAAAATGTTATAAATTGATTTGCATTTTAATGAGGGAAATAAGTATTTGACCCCTCTGCAAAACATGGCTTAGTACTTGGTGGCAAAACCCTTGTTGGCAATCACAGAGGTCAGATGTTTCTTGTAGTTGGCCACCAGGCTTGCACACATCTCAGGAGGGATTTTGTCCCACTCCTCTTTGCAGATCTTCTGCAAGTCATTAAGGTTTCGAGGCTGACATTTGGCAACTCGAACCTTCAGCTCCCTCCACAGATTTTCTATGGGATTAAGGTCTGGAGACTAGCTAGGCCACTCCAGGACCTTAATGTGCTTCTTCTGGAGCCACTCCTTTGTTGACTTGGCTGTGTGTTTTGGGTCATTGTCATGCTGGAATACCCATCCATGACCCATTTTCAATGCCCTGGCTGAGGGAAGGAGGTTCTCACCCAAGATTTGATGGTACATGGCCTCGTCCATCGTCCCTTTGATGCGGTGAAGTTGTCCTGTCCCCTTAGCAGAAAAACACCCCCAAAGCATAATGTTTCCACCTCCATGTTTGACGGTGGGGATGGTGTTCTTGGGGTCATAGGCAGCATTCCTCCTCCTCCAAACACGGCGAGTTGAGTTGATGCCAAAGAGCTCGATTTTGGTCTCATCTGACCACAACACTTTCACCCAGTTCTGCTCTGAATCATTCAGATGTTCATTGGCAAACTTCAGACGGCCCTGTATATGTGCTTTCTTGAGCAGGGGGACCTTGCGGGCACTGCAGGATTTCAGTCCTTCACAGCGTAGTGTGTTACCAATTTTGTTCTTAGTGACTATGGTCCCAGCTGCCTTGAGATCATTGACAAGATCCTCCCGTGTAATTCTGGGCTGATTCCTCGCCGTTCTCATGATCATTGCAACTCCACGAGGTGAGATCTTGCATGGAGCCCCCTAGTCACTTTACCCTGCCTTCATGTACATATCTACCTCAAATACCTTATTATTATCTATCCTGATGCCTAGTCACTTTACCCTGTCTTCATGTACAAATCTACCTCAAATACCTTGTACCCCTGCACATTGATCTGGTACTGGTATTCCCTGTATATAGCTCCACAGTGATCTGGTACTGGTATTCCTGTATATAGCTCCACAGTGATCTGGTACTGGTACTCCCTGTATATAGCTCCACATTGATCTGGTACTGGTCTCCTGTATATAGCTCCACATTGATCTGGTACTGGTACTCCTGTAATAGCTCCACAGTGATCTGGTACTGGTACTTCCTGTATATAGCTCCACATTGATCTGGTACTGGTACTCCCTGTATATAGCTCCACAGTGATCTGGTACTGGTACTCCCTGTATATAGCTCCACAGTGATCTGGTACTGCCGTTATGCTCACATTGATCTGTACTGGTACTCCTTAGCTCCACAGTGATCTGGTACTGGTACTTCTATATAGCTCCCTGATCTGTAGGTACTCCTGGATGGCTCCATTCTTGTGTATTTAATTTTATTCCTCTTGTGTTAGTTACTATTTTATTTTGTTATTATTATAACTTTTTAAATTCTGCATCTTTGGGAAAGGTTCGTAAGCAAGCATTTCACTGTAAAGTCTACACAAGTTGTATTCGGTGCCTTTGATAAATAACATTTGATTTGATTCCAGGTTCAATGTTTGACGTGACTGAGTTAGCTGAAGTTGGCTAGCTAGCTAGCAAGTGACAAGAACATTATCCAGCCTGCATAGCAACCATTTTGTTTAGAACGGACGACCAGTCCTTTTGCATAGCAACTATTATGCAAAAAATAATGAACGACTAGGTGGCGTCTGTAGCAACAGGACCAAAAGAACTAACAACCAGATTTTTTGTCTTGACTATATCTTCTGGTGGAAGAATGAGATTGTATGAATTGACTTTTCAAAATAAAACATTTGTGAAAATATGGAATTCATTGTTATTTTAGTATGTTGGAAAACAGTTTTCTAAAAGCAATATGGCACGGGAGGCAGTGCTGTGTCATGAATACAGTCAGAGTTAAATGGGTTGACTGGCTCTCCGCTGTGGCGTGGCCATGTTCAGGACTTTAACCCCACCTTGAACCCGTTACTCTTGCCCATTCTCAGACGTCCCATCCACATGTCAGAGAGCAGCATCTGGCTGCAGGTGTGGGCGATGAAGTCTCTGTGCTTGGCGGCTACGGCCAGCTTCAGGCAGGTGGAGTTGCTCCAGTTCTTCAGCTGGTACGTCAGCAGCTTCATGGCCACCTGCTCGTCGTGCTTATAGGACTGGTCCAGGAGCTCGTAGGCCAGCTGGCCAAACTCCCTGAGGAGGGAAGAAGGAAGACGTGCTTATAGGACTGGTCCAGGAGCTCGTAGGCCAGCTGGCCAAACTCCCTGAGGAGGGAAGAAGGAAGACGTGCTTATAGGACTGGTCCAGGAGCTCGTAGGCCAGCTGGCCAAACTCCCTGAGGAGGGAAGAAGGAAGACGCTGTGCTCAGATGGTCAGTTGTGGTTTTCATTACATTTTTAAATTGTAGTCATTTAGCAGACGCTCTTATCCAGAGCGACTTACAGTTAGTGAGTGCATACATTTTCATACTGGCCCCCCGTGGGAAACGAACCCACAACCATGGCGTTGCAAGCGCCATGCTCTACCAACTGAGCTACAGGGGACCCTACCAGTAAAAAGTTTGGACACACCTACTCATTCAAGGGTTTTTCTTTATTTTTAATATTTTTTACATTGCAGAATAATAGTGAATACATCAAACCTATGAAATAACACATGTGGAATCATGTAGTAATCAAAAAAGTGTTAAACAATTCAAAATATATTTTATATTTGAGATTCTTCAAGTAGCCAACCTTCGCCTTGATGACAGCTTTGCACACTCTTGGCATTCTCTCAACCAGCTTCATGAGGTAGTCACCTGGAATGCATTTCAATTAACAGGTGTGCCTTCTTAAAAGTTAATTTGTGGAATTTCTTTCCTTCTTAATGCGTTTGAGCCAATCAGTTGTGTTGTGATAAGGTAGGGGGGGTATACAGAAGATAGCCTTATTTGGTAAAAGACCAAGTCCATATTATGGCAAGAACAGCTCAAATAAGCAATACTTCAAGACATGAAGGTCAGTCAATACGGAAGATTTCAAGAACTTTGAAAGCTTCTTCAAGTGCAGTCGCAAAAACCATCAAGCGCTATGATGAAACTGGCTCTCATGAAGACTGCCACAGGAATGGAAGACCCAGAGTTACCTCTGCTGCAGAGGATAAGTTCATTAGAGTTACCAGCCTCAGAAATTGCAGCCCAAATAACTGCTTCACAGAGTTCAAGTAACAGACACATCTCAACATCAACTGTTCAGAGGAGACTGTGTGAATCAGGCCTTCATGGTTGAATTGCTGCAAGAAACCACTACTAAAGGACACCAATAAGAAGAAGAGACTTTGCTTTGGCCAAGAAACACGAGCAATGGACATTAGACCGGTGGAAATGTGTCCTTTGGTCTGGACTCCAAATTGGAGATTTTTGGTTCCAACCGCCGTGTCTTTGTGAGACGCGGTGTGGGGGAACGGATGATCTCTGTATGTATATTTCCCACCGTAAAGCATGGAGGAGGAGTTGTTATGGTGTGGGGGGTGCTTTGCTGTGATTTATTTAGAATTCAAGGCACACTTAACAAGCATGGCTACCACAGCATTCTGCAGTGATACGCCATCCCATCTGGTTTGGGCTTAGTGGGACTATCATTTGTTTTTCAACAGGACAATTACCCAACACACCTCCAGGCTGTGTAAGGGCTATTGACCAAGAAGGAGAGTGATGGAGTGTTGCATCAGATGACCTGACCTCCACAATCCCTCGACCTCAACCCAATTGAGATGGTTTGGGATGAGTCGGACCGCAGAGTGAACGAAAAGCAGCCAACAAGTGCTCAGCATATGTGGGAACTCCTTCAAGACTGTTGGAAAAGCATTCCAGGTGACGCTGGTTGAGAGAATGCCAAGAGTGTGCAAAGCTGTCATCAAGGAAAAGGGTGGCAATTTGAAGAATCTCAAATTTCTATATTTTGATTTGTTTAACACTTTATTGGTTACTACATGATTCCATATGTGTTATTTCATAGTTTTGATGTCTTCACTATTATTCTACAATGTAGAAAATAGTAAAAAATTAAGAAAAACCCTTGAATGAGTAGGTGTGTCCAAACTTCTGACTGGTAGTGTATGTATCAAATCAAATCACTATTTATTTAAAGTGCATTTAACAAAAGCCTCAATGTACTTTACAGAAAAACAGACTGAGAGAAGAAACAAGAGAGAGCAGCAGACATCCAGAACAATTATACAGTAATGGGTTGGACCAGTACAGTGATACAGTAATGGGTTGGACCGGTACAATGATACAGTAATGGGTTGGACCAGAACAATGATACAGTAATGGGTTGGACCAGAACAATGATACAGTACAATAATGGGTTGGACCAGTACAATGATACAGTAATGGGTTGGACCAGAACAATGATACAGTAATGGGTTGGACCAGAACAGTGATACAGTAATGGGTTGGACCAGAACAATGATACAGTAATGGGTTGGACCAGAACAGTGATACAGTAATGGGTTGGACCAGAACAGTGATACAGTAATGGGTTGGACCAGAACAATGATACAGTAATGGGTTGGACCAGGGATACACAAGCTTAGTTTCTGAGGGTTGAATTGTGAATAGAAAAGCCAGCACCCTAAAGGACTATTCCAAGTTTGGAGTCAATTCCATTTACAATTCCAATTTTCCTATTTGGAATTTGAGTTTGCTTCCTGAATTTCCTCACTAACTTGACCCCGACACTGTTAGATTGAAACCTTTCTGCTAGCTAGTCAATCACTAACTTGGAGTTGTTTTCCAGGTCCTGGAAGATGTCGTCCACCAGATCACTCTGAGACGACTCGTGGGCCATGGCCTTGTACAGCTTACAGGCCACCAGAGCTTTGGCCATGGCCTCTTCCCCCCGCTTCCACAGGAACAGCGCCATCTTCTGGCGCTTCATGAGGACGGCCCACACCATCAGCTCATGGAACGGGAACTGGAAGCGGCAGACCTCTGGGTCGTCCACATCAATGTCCGTCTCTTCCTCCTTCTTCTTCTTCTTCCCTTTGCTCTTGCCCTTTCCTCGTGGTTCGTCGTCCTGGTAGGAATCAGATGGACATTACAAATATCAAGTATTGTGGTGTAGGGCGAATCTTAACGTCACTCTTCACTTCAGTCACATTTGTACTTAGACATGCATTGATGCCAATGGGAAACTAAGTGAATTTAGGATTCTCCCCTTGTACACAGAAAATGAATTCAAGTGGTGATTGTATTGATATGGATGTGTAAATATGAAATCCCGCTAAATAGAATAATGGTGCTAATTTAAAAGACAAATGAGAGACTCACCTCCAGTCCTAACATTTTTAGAGCTTTCGGCTGTGAATCAAAACAAGGGAGGGGACAGCATGAATTAGCATGATTAACGTTAGCATTCATATTATCATTAATATTAATATTATTATATTATATTATTACAGTTATTATTACGCTGAACAAAAATATAAATGCAGCATGCGAGTTACAGTTCATTTAAGGAAATCAGTCAATTAATGAGGCCCTAATCTATGGATTTCACATGACTGTGAATACAGATATGCATTGGTCAGTATCTGGTGTGACCATAATTTGCCTCATGCAGCGCGACACATGTCCTTCGCATAGAGTTGATCAGGCTGTTGATTATGGCCTGTGAAATGTTGTCACACTCCTCTTCAATGGCTGTGCGAACTGGAACAAGCTGTTGTACACGTCGATCCAGAGCATCCCAAACATGCTCAATGGTTGACATGTCTGGTGAGTGTGCAGGCCATGGAAGAACTGGGACATTTTCAACTTCCAGGAATTGTGTACAGCTCCTTGTGAATGGGGCAGTACATTATCATGCTGAAACATGAGGTGATGGTGGCGGATGAATGGCACGACAATGAGCCTTAGGATCTCGTCACAGTATCTCTGTGCATTCAAATTGCCATCGATAAAATTCAATTGTGTTCGTTGTCCGTAGCTTACGCCTGCCCATACCATAACCCCACCGCCACCACGGGGTACTCTATTCACAACATTGACATCAGCAAACCGCTTGTCCACACAACGCCATACACGCTGTCTGACATCTGCCAGTTGAAACCGGGATTCATCTGTGAAAAGCACACTTCTCTAGCGTGCCAGTGGCCATCGAAGGTGAGCATTTGCCCACTGAAGTCGGTTATGACGCCGAACTGCAGTCAGGTCAAGACCCTGGTGAGGACAACGAGCACGCAGATGAGCTTCCCTGAGACGGTTTCTGACAGTTTGTGCAGAAATTCTTTGGTTGTGCAAACCCACAGTTTCATCACCTGTCTGGGTGGCTGGTCTCAGACGATCCCGCAGGTGAAGAAGCCGGCTGTGGAGGTCCTGGGCTGGCGTGGTTACACATGGTCTGCGGTTGTGAGGCTGGTTGGACGTACCACCAAATTCTCTAAAATGACATTGGAGGCGGCTTATGGTAGAGAAATGAACATTCAATTCTCTGGCAAGAGCTCTGGTGGACATTCCTGCAGTCAGCATGCCAATTGCACACTCTGTGGCATTGTGTTGTTTGACAAAACTGCCCATTTTAGAGTGACCCTTTTATTGTCCCCAGCACAAGGTGCACCTGTGTAATGATCATAGGGTTTAATCGGCTTCTTGATATGCCACAGCTGTCAGGTGGATGGATTATCTTGGCAAAGGAGAAATGCTCACTAACAGGGATGTAAAGAAATGTGTGCACATAATGTTAGAGAAATAAGCTTTTCTGTGCGTCTGGAACATTTCTGGGATCTTTTATTTCAGCTGATGAAAAATGGGAGCATATTAATAATAATAAGTAATAATAGTAATATTATATTCCTATCTGTAGAGTGTGGATTTCTCCTCACCCTTTTTAACACCATAGAGGTTGTTGTAGAGGGTGCGGAACTGCTTTCTGGTGTAGTTGCAGCGATAAGCCCCACCCATCAGGAACTCCAGGACCAATCCGATATCGATCAAGGTGATCTGGTAATCCGGTGGAAGATTTCCCTGAAACACCAACCAACCATCATCATTATACTGTTACTGTTTTTAGCTTTATATTACATTGCAGCTACTATGTTATGGCTAATATTATTACTCTATATATTAGGTAACACTTTACTATAGGGGGTAAATATCAGGTAACACTTTACTATAGGGGGTAAATATTAGGTAACACTTTTTACTATAGGGGGGTAAATATTAGGTAACACTTTACTATAGGGGGTAAATATTAGGTAACACTTTACTATAGGGGGGTAAATATTAGGTAACACTTTACTATAGGGGGGTAAATATTAGGTAACACTTCACTATAGGGGGTAAATATCAGGTAACACTTTACTATAAGGGGGTAAATATTAGGTAACACTTTACTATAGGGGGTAAATATTAGGTAACACTTTACTATAGGGGGTAAATATCAGGTAACACTTTACTATAGGGGGTAAATATTAGGTAACACTTTACTATAGGGGGTAAATATCAGGTAACACTTTACTATAGGGGGTAAATATTAGGTAACACTTCACTATCAGGGGTAAATATCAGGTAACACTTTACTATAGGGGGTAAATATTAGGTAACACTTCACTATAGGGGGTAAATATTAGGTAACACTTCACTATAGGGGGGTAAATATTAGGTAACACTTCACTATAGGGGGGTAAATATTAGGTAACACTTCACTATAGGGGGGTAAATATTAGGTAACACTTCACTATAGGGGGGTAAATATTAGGTAACACTTTACTATAGGGGGTAAATATCAGGTAACACTTTACTATAGGGGGTAAATATTAGGTAACACTTCACTATCAGGGGTAAATATCAGGTAACACTTTACTATAGGGGGGTAAATATTAGGTAACACTTCACTATAGGGGGGTAAATATTAGGTAACACTTCACTATCAGGGGTAAATATTAGGTAACACTTCACTATAGGGGGGTAAATATTAGGTAACACTTCACTATAGGGGGGTAAATATTAGGTAACACTTCACTATCAGGGGTATACGTAACACCTTTATGAAACCAGTCATAACACCTTTATGAAACCAGTCATAACACCTTTATAAAACCAGTTAATACACCTTTATATTGTTGCTTGACGTTGTAAACACAGCATTGACTCCCTGTCAAAATAAAGGTTGAATAATCAAAGAAAACGTTACCTTTTTAACATCTCTAACTACAAAGTGGAGTGTATTTGTAGGGCCCAGCCTCTGTAAAAACAAACAGGAAAACAAATAATGAAATACTTTTAAAAACAGAAACAATAAACACTCTGGTCTCTATTCAATCAGCATCGTAGATGTTCAGCTTTACAGCGCAATTGATTTTTAAAGGCAATGTTCCAGCTTTAGCATTTAGAAGCAAGGTTGGGGACAAAGTCAATTTAAATCAATTCCAGTAGTTCCGGAATTGACCCCAAACCTGTTAAGAAGTATCGATTCTTTGCTTGGGGTCATTGTCCATTTGGAAGACCCATTTGCGACCAAGCTTTAACTTCCTGACTGATGTCTTGAGATGTTGCTTCAATATATCCACATAATTTTCCTTCCTCATAATGCCATCTATTTTGTGAAGTGCACCATTCCCTCCTGCAGCAAAGCACCCCCACAGCATGATGCTGCCACCCCCGTGCTTCACGGTTGGGATGGTGTTCTTCGGGTTGCAGGGGACCCCCTTTTTCCTCCAAACATAACGATGGTCATTATAGCCAAACAGTTCTATTTTTGTTTCATCAGACCAGAGGACATTTCTCCAAAAAGTACGATCATTGCAAACCGTAGTCTGGCATTTTTATGGCGGTTTTGGAGCAGTGGCTTCTTCCTTGCTGAGCTGCCTTTCAGGTTATGTCGATGTAGGCCGTCATTGTAAATAAGAATTTGTTCTTAACTGACTTGCCTAGTTACATAAAGGTAAAATAAAATAAAAATAAAATATAGGACTTGTTTTACTGTGGATATAGATACTTTTGTACCTGTTTCCTCCAGCATCTTCACAAGGTCCTTTGCTGTTGTTCTGGGATTGATTTGCACTTTTCTCACCAAAGTACTTTCATCTCTAGGAGACAGAACGCGTCTCCTTCCTGAGCGGTATGACAGCAGCGTGGTCCCATGGGGTTTATACTTGCGTACTATTGTTTGTACAGATGAACGTGGTACCTTCAGGCGTTTGGAAATTGCTCCCAAAGATGAACCAGACTTGTGGAGGTCTACAATTAATTGGCTGATTTCTTTTGATTTTCCCATGGTGTCAAGCAAGGAGGCACTGAGTTTGAAGGTAGGCCTTGAAATACATCCACAGGTACACCTCCAATTGACTCAAATGGTGTCAATTAGCCTATCAGAAGCTTCTAAAGCCATGACATCATTTTCTGGAATTTTCCAAGCTGTTTAAAGGCACAGTCAACTTAGTGTATGTAAACTTCTGACCCACTGGAATTGTGATACAGTGAATTATAAGTGAAATAATCTGTCTGTAAACAATTGTTGGAAAAATTACATCTGTCTTACCGTGTTGTATAGTTCCTCCAGACGGGTGATGGTGAGGAAGTGGTGTATGTTGACGCCGTTCTCTATCAGCAGCTTGACGAAGTCCACCCTGTCCAGCACCAGGGCGTCCATCATGGCCTGCTCCAGAGAGTTCACCTACAGTGGAGAGACACATTAACCATAACCCTGTCCAGCACCAGGGCGTCCATCATGGCCTGCTCCAGACAGTTCACCTACAGTGGAGAGACACATTAACCATAACCCTGTCCAGCACCAGGGCGTCCATCATGGCCTGCTCCAGAGAGTTCACCTACAGTGGAGAGACACATTAACCATAACCCTGTCCAGCACCAGGGCATCTATCATGGCCTGCTCCAGGGGGAGTTCACCTACAGTGGAGAGACACATTAACCATAACCCTGTCCAGCACCAGGGCGTCCATCATGGCCTGCTCCAGAGAGTTCACCTACAGTGGAGAGACACATTAACCATAACCCTGTCCAGCACCAGGGCGTCCATCATGGCCTGCTCCAGAGAGTTCACCTACAGTGGAGAGACACACATTAACCATAACCCTGTCCAGCACCAGGGCATCTATCATGGCCTGCTCCAGGGGGAGTTCACCTACAGTGGAGAGACACATTAACCATAACCCTGTCCAGCACCAGGGGATCCATCATGGCCTGCTCCAGAGAGTTCACCTCCAGTTTTGGAAGAACCAGGAAGACGGTAGAGGAGAAAGTAAGGCTATGGATGACCATCACTGACAAGTGGGGCCTGTTCCGGAGGGTGCAACATTACAGAATGTTAAAGGTCCAATGCAGACGTTTTTATCTCAATGTCAAATAATTTCTGGGTAACAATTAAGTTACTCTCTGTGATTGTTTTACAGTTTTTCTCCATTGGTTTGGCTCATTTCTTGAAACAGAAATTACATTCTCAAAACTACATGGACAAACCTCCAAACCACTTGGCAATTGTTCACAACAGAATTGAATTTCTCATTCATTTCATCAAATTGCAAATGTCTAAGTACATGTCTCAATGTCTCAGTACATCTTTGCAAATGATTAAGTACAGGTAGCCTACATTTAGCACAATTTCCAAGTGAATAGATCTTGTTGATCTAAACTGATTGTTGATTCTCAGTCTAATGGTTGTTCGCTCCAAAACGTGTCAGCGTCATTTCATTGTATAAGTCATCACATGCACAATAGTCTGTTCAATTGTCAAAATTAGTCAAGAACATAATACCATGAATACCATATATGAATCCCTTGGAACATTTGATAAATTTATTACAGCAATTGACAGTCAGGTGAAACTAGAACTTGACTAACGAAGGAGGAGTTTCACACATCTCAGATGACCAATCAAACAGTATGTTTAGTTACCTGACAGGTGCTGTCCATGACTGTGAATGCTGCCAAACATGTATGTAAAGAGCTTGACCATGCAGGACCAGTACAATTTCTGAACATGGAGGCACCTGGCCAAGTAAATGAACAAGGGCAACTGCCTGCTCGAGGAAGAGGAAGAAGAAGAGGAGGAGGAGGAGTAAGGGTGCGTGGTGGTGGAATAGGGGGAAGAGGCCGAGGAGCACGAAGACACCATGCTGTCCCGGATGAAATTCGGGCCACAATTATAGACCATGTCATCAACCATGGCCTCACAATGGCGGAGGCAGGTCGCCGAGTGCAGCCTAATGTGCCTCGCTCAACAGTCTCCTCCATCATCCAAACCTTTCGCAGGGAAAACAGGTATGTAGTCAGTCAATGATGGAATTATATGTTGTATAGGACAGGACACTGTGCATAGAGCAAGAAATATATTTATTTACATATTTACCTATTCATTTAGTGTGTGTGTGTGATAGGCCTACAGTAATATCTTACCTCAATGGGATGTTATGATACTAAAAATGACAAGAAAAACATTGGAGAAAATAAACTATGGAATAGTTTATTTTCTACAGTATTGATGATACAGTTTACAGTAGTATTCCAGTCACTGTGCAGTGATGCATTAGAATTGTGGTAAAGTTACTGTAAGTAAAACAACAATACAATTACATAGGTAACTCATTCTGTAAGGAATACATAAGGTATACATTACGAATGGAGTGTTGTCCTTTGACTTCTATATCTAGGATTGGACGACAACCTTGCACAGGTGGCAGAGGAAAACTTCTCAATGAACAACAAGAACAAGAGATCTGTAACATGGTGATGGCAAATAATGCCATCACATTGAGACAGATCCGCGCTGCAATCCTACAAGACAATGCCATATTCCAAAATGTCAACTCTATAAGCATCTCCACAATAGACCGGATATTGAAGAAGCATCAGATGACAATGAAGCAAATTTACAGGGTACCATTTGAGAGGAACTCTGATAGAGTGAAAGAGCTGCGGTACCAGTATGTACATGTAAGTCAGTTACTGGTTGTCCATCATTATAACATTTTTACAATTAAGCAGTGGTTCCCAAACTTTTTTGGCTTCAGTACCCACTTTACCTGATTTGTGTATCCAGGTAATCCAGGTATGGAAGTATTTGATTTATCTGACTTCAACATTTCGCCTAAAAACTGCAGCTTACTGTATGATGCAATTATCATTATAATCCTTATTTTGAAGAATATAACATACAATAAGAAAAGGGGTCAAAGAGCTGCAATTAGTGCCTCCCATGTAAATCTATCTAATACTGTGGGTTTTACTGTAACATTTCAGTAAGTCTAGTCATTGATGATTTCCCCCCTCCCCTTTCTGTCAAATACCCCCTGTAGTACCTCTGCATAGGGGTACATGTACCCCAGGTTTGGAACCACTGGAGTAGTGGCCAGTAGTATATTGAACTTGTGGAGAACATAGAACATTCCTATGTAATTGTCTGTAACTGTAGTGTATGACTCTTCTGTATGACTGATTTGATGTTTTCTTTTTTTACGCTATTGTAGAGAATAATGGCATTGGAAGGAAACGAGACCCATCACATCCTCGTGTTTGTGGATGAAGCTGGCTTCAACCTGGCCAAGGGCCGAAGACGTGGCCGTAATATTATTGGCCACCGGGCCATGGTGGATGTCCCAGGCCAGCGAGGGGGCAATATAACTATGTGTGCTGCCATATCGGAGAATGATGTGGCCACTCACATCCCCAGTCTTGGCCCATACAATACACAGAAGCTCCTCATCTTCTTGGACCGCCTTCATGTTGATTTGATCCCTGAAAATGAGAGCGGTCTCGTAGGGCCTCACCTACCACAATATGTCATTGTATGGGACAATGTGAATTTCCACCGTGGCCCGCTCATCAGGGCCTGGTTCACTACTCATCCAAGGATGGTCATGGTGTTCCTACCACCTTACTCTCCTTTCCTCAATCCTATTGAGGAGTATTTCTCCGCTTGGAGGTGGAGAGTGTATGAGCATCGGGCTCAAGATCAGAGGTCCCTGCTCCATGCAATGGACGCTGCGTGTGAGGATATTACAGGAGATCAGTGTAGGGGATGGTTGCGACATGCACGCCGTTTCTTCCCTCGTTGCATCGCAAGGGAGAATATACGCTGTGATGTGGACGAGAATCTGTGGCCAGACAGACAGCAGCGTGTGGATGGCCAGGAGGGTGAGGACAGCGACCAGTGAAGAACTGTTAGTTGTGAAACTCCAGCTTTATTTACAGCACTGTAGGCTGCATATAATTTTCATTGTTTTTTGTTTGTGTGTTTATATTACAGTATATTATGCTGTATACATTTTCTTTTTACTCTGATGTATGGAAGTTACTTTATGTGTGTGAATGATAATGGTTACAATTTCCTTGGCAGTATGAGTGCAATGTGTGATGTCAAACCTTGGAGGCTACTCTTACCCTAAAATCCTATTTATTTTTTTCAGTTTTATACACAATTGTATTCTGTTAGCTAGACAAAAAACAGTACAGTAACCATTGTCAATGAAGGACTGGGCTAAGACTGAAAGGTGGACATGAGGGATATTTCAATGGTCCTCTGCCATAGTGACAAAACATCTAAACATTTTGACTTGCAGTGCTTACACAATGCCAAAGGGACGAAGCATTTTGGGGGCACTGACTGTTTAAATGAGAAGGAAATTTAGTTTTGACACATGCGTGAACTGTTTTGGGAGAGGTATGAGCTTTTGCAGGTGAACCATGGTGTTGTGCCGAACCATCCACGTTATTTTGGCTAAAGCACCAAGAGTGTTGAGAACGTCCGGTCTGTTTCAAGAAATGAGCCAAAGCAATTGAGAAGGATCTTTGCCATTTTCGTGGCACTGACTCCTTATATGGGAAAGGAATTTAGTTTTGAAGCATGAGTGAACAGTTTTAGGAGAGATATGAGCTTTTGCAAGTGAGCTATAGTGTTGTGCTGAACTGTAAGACTGTTTTGCCAAATGATCTTAGAGTTTTGAGAATGTAATTTCTGTTTCAAGAAATGAGCCAAACCAATGGAGAAAAACTGTAAATTAAAATGATCAAAAATAAACTAATGTAGCTTCTTAGCAAAGAGCAATTTCTCAAGCAATAATTTTGCAAGGACTGTCTGGGAGTGGTCTGAGTAGGGAGGGGAAAACTGAAAACTAGCTGTTATTGGCAGAGAGGTTTGGAACTCTCTTTCTTATTGGTCTATGAACTCATTTACCGCCTGATGATGTCACCAGGCAGGCCAAAACTCCATCACACCAAAACAGACTGAATTTTCAGGCGGCCTTTTCAAACAGCTCTTACACTAAAAGTGCATTATCATAATTTCCTAAATTTCACAGTATTATTCCGACCTCAAAGTGTGTAAATATATATAAAACACCTTATAGATCAGGGATGTAATGGTAATGAAACGTGGATAAACCCTGACACCATGGTTCAGGAAGAATAAGTCCTCATGAACCATTAAAACATGACATAAAATAGTTGACTTGTATGACCCTCTACATAACTGCTTCAGATTAAATGGATTGTGTATTGATACGTTTGAGGGTTGAATATAGTGTATTGTATGAATGCCGATCAACAATCAATACTGGCTATTTATTCACCCAGTTGCGTAGCTCCAGCTTCCTGGGGTCCGTCTCCTCCGGAGGTTCAGGTTTGGCCCTGCCCCCTTTGACCTTGTTGACCCTAGCCTTCCCCTTCCGTGCCCCGCCTCCTCCACCGCGGGCTGGGACCGGGCTCTTAGGCTTATCCTGGGATGCTGTGGTGTTGGCCGCCTGGGAGGTAACACAGGGAGGAGGAAAGACCTTGTTGACCCGGTGTACACGGAGCTGTTACAGTACCTGAAATGGTTGTTGCTGTCTCACCATTACTGTTGGTTAGAGTTTCCGTCTGTTACAGTCCCTGAAATGGTTGTTGCTGTCTCACCTTTACTGTTGGTTAGCGTTTCCGTCTGTGTCCCAAATGGCACCCTATTCCCTATATTGTGCACTAGATTTGACCAAGTCCCACAGGGCTCTGGACACAAGTAGTGCACTGTGTAGAGAATAGGATGCCATTTGGGACAGGTAAAAATACTTCCTTTGGAATATGGGCAGTTTTCTGACTTGATGATTTAAGCCGTATTCTGCAACGATATATTCTAACCCACATTGATGTCAACGAGTTGATTTACGTGAAAGGTCAAGGTTGCACGCGCGCTCATCTGAACTCTGAACCAGGGCCCTGTAAGACGTAAGATCACGGGGATGTTTTCATTACAAATTGTGTTTCCACGTGTTTTCCCAAGTTGTGGATCCACTCACGCTGCCGCTCATGGGCCAGTGGTGACCGTAGACGAAGATCTGGCTCCTAGCGATGTCCACTCTGTTCCAGGCCAGGGCTAAACTTAGCTGGTCGGGGGCGGAGGCGTTGGTGCCTGCAATCAAAAACACCAACAAGGCTTTGTTGTTTCACAGCTCTTCTAAAGGCTATGGGGATTCAATCAAATGTTTCATTCAGTCCCAGCCCTACGTGAGAAATAGCCTCTATTTGCAAAGACAGTGCTGTTAAAGAGTGAGGTTAAAAATCGGTCCTTCCCAGGTTACCTTTGAGCAAGGCCGTCAGTATGGCCATCTCTATGTCCCGCGGTCCCTCTGCGCCCATACGGAACACAGTGATCTGCAGCTCCATGAAACAACAAAAACACAGAGACGCTTGTAAGGGTCAACGGTCAACTCTCTTTTCAGGGGAATCAGTGCATACTTTTTTTTAAGTGTATACTTTGGAGTGTGTAGTTTTGGAGGGGCCTTGAAAAGCCCACACTGTACTTTGATTTTTTTTTTGCCTTCTTCCGAACACGGCTCTGTTTTTTTTATCTCTTGTATCATGTGACAACAAACGCTCAATTAATGATAGCGAATTTGTTTTGAGGACATATGGCACATCTCTTCAGGCATTTCTTCTATGTTAAATTAAGGAGTGGGCCTTTAATGGTATTACTGGGGAGCGTGTTTACAACTCATGTTGGGGAGACAGTCAGCAGTGTGTGTGTGTGTGTGTGTGTGTGTGTGTGTGTGTGTGTGTGTGTGTGTGTGTGTGTGTGTGTGTGTGTGTGTAATGTGTGTGTGTGTGTGTGTGTGTGTGTGTGTGTGTGTGTGTGTGTGTGTGTGTGTGTGTGTGTGTGTGTGTGTGTGTGTGTGTGTGTGTGTGTGTGTGTGGTGTGTGTAATGTGTGTGTGTGTGTGTGTGTGTGTGTAATGTGTGTGTGTGTGTGTGTGTGTGTGTGTGTGTGTGTGTGTGTGTGTGTGTGTGTGTGTGTGTGTGTGTGTGTGTGTGTGTGTGTGTGTGTGTGTGTGTGTGTGTGTGTGTGTGTGTGTGTGTGTGTGTGCATGAGCATGTGAATGTTAAGTAAAGTCAGCAGCCTCTCATTGTGAATTGTGTCTCTGAATAACAGGAAGTTTCCTTATAAACCAGGGACACGCCCTGCAGTGCATATAAACACTATATATACAAAAGTAATGTGGACACCCCTTCAAATGAGTGGATTCGGCTATTTCAGCCACACCCGTTGCTGACAGGTGTATAAAATCGAGCACACAGCCATGCAGTCTCCATAGACAAACATTGGCAGTAGAATGGCCTTACTGAAGGGCTCAGTGACCTTCAACGTGGCACCGTCATAGGATGCCACCTTTCCAAAAAGTCAGTTCGTCAAATTTATAATATAATAATATTATAATAATAATAAATAATAATAATTAAATAATAATCATTAGTAATAATTAATAATTAAAATGTCTGCCCTACTAGAGCTGCCCCGGTCAACTGTAAGTGCTGTTATTGTGAAGTGGAAATGTCTAGGAGCAACAACGGCTCAGCCGCGAAGTGGTAGGCCACACAAGATCACAGAACGGAACCACCGAGTGCTGAAGCGCGTGGAGCGTAAAAATCTTCTGCCCTCGGTTGCAACACTCACTACCAAGTTCCAAACTGCCTCTGGAAGCAATGTCAACACAATAACTATTTGTCGGGAGCTTCATGAAATGGGTTCCCATGGCCGAGCAGCCGCACACAAGCCTAAGATCACCATGCGCAATGCCTAGCATCAGCTGGAGTGGTGTAAAGCTCGCCGCCATTGGACTCTGGAGCAGTGGAAACGCGTTCTATGGAGTGATGAATCACGCTTCACCATCTGGCATTCAAACGGACGAATCTGGGTTTGGCAGATGCCAGGAGAACGCTACCTGCCCGAATGCATAGTGCCAACTGTAAAGTTCGGTGGAGGAGGAATAATGGTCTGGGGCTGTTTTTCATGGTTCGGGCTAGGCCCCTTAGTTCCAGTGAAGGGAAATCTTAACGCTACAGCATACAATGACATTCTAGAAGATTTTGTGCTTCCAACTTTGTGGCAACAGTTTGGGAAGGCCCTTTCCTGTTTCAGCATGACAATGCCCCCATGCATGAAGCGAAGTCCATACAGAAATGGTTTGTCGAGATCGGTGTGGAAGAACTTGACTGGCCAGCACAAAGCCCTGACCTCAACCCCATCGAACACCTTTGGGATGAATTGGACCGCCGACTGCGAGCCAGGCCTCATCGGCCAAAATCAGTGCCTGACCTCACTAATGCTCTTGTGGCCTGAATGGAAATAAATCCCTGCAGCAATGTTCCAACATCGAGTGGAAGCTGTTATAGCAGCAAATGGGGGACCAACTCCATGTTAATGCCCATGATTTTGGAATGAGATGTTGGACGAGCAGGTGTCCACATACTTTTGGTCATGTAGTGTACCAAGCCCTTTAGAGTTAACAACAGGCACTGTCTTTATAAACCATGGGACACCCTGCAGAACATAACAAGCACTTCAGGGTTAACAACCTCCTAATAAGATGACAGTATCATCCTTGTTGTTGCCCAGACCATCCCAAATGCAATAAGACTGCAGGCCTGTCACATGCCAGCAAGGAATGCACTGCTAATAACACAATTATGTCTGTTGAAACTTTTCAGAACTGAACCAATCCAAAGATTCACTGATAATGAGCTACGTGTTGCAGCTCCATGGCTGGCCCCTCGTGATAGCTCCACCACCAGGCCCTCGTGATAGCTCCACCACCAGGCCCTCAGGATAGCTCCACCACCAGGCCCTCGTGATAGCTCCACCACCAGGCCCTCGTGATAGCTCCACCACCAGGCCCTCGTGATAGCTCCACCCACCAGCCCTCGTGATAGCCCACCACCAGGCCCTCCGGGATATCCCACCACCAGGCCCCTCAGGTGTCCGGTTGCCGAGGCCTGCCTCTCTTCCTGCTCGGGCAGGCTTCGGCGGTCGTCGGCCCCGGAGTACCTAGCTGCCACCGTTGTATGTTTTCGATGTTCGTTTGGTTTTGTCTTTATGTTGTACCCCTGTTATCGTTGCGTTCATTAAGGTGTTCCTATAAGTTCCTCCGTTTGTTAGTCATAATGGCATGTGTGATTGCTTCTTACTGTCTTACTAGACTGTGGCTTCGTTCCTTCCTCTGTGTTGGAGAGGTTTTTCGCACTTGTTGTGCGCGTTATTTATTTTTCATGTGTGGTTTACGCCTGTGTGGCGAATCGCTTGCCTTAAGGCTCTTTTGGATCGGTTGGAGTGTTGGATCACTAAAGTCTGTTGGACTGAGCTTCTGCGTCCCTGCCGCGTGATTTCCTGCACCACAATCGTAACACAAAGCACCTTCTGAACATCAGGATTGCTCCACCCACCAGGCCCTCGGGATAGCTCCACCACCAGGCCCTCGTGATAGCTACATGACCCAGGCCTCCGTGGTTACAATTCTCTGTTTGTAGTGTAACAATCTGAACCATCCATCTCCATGACATCTAGCTGTATCTGCCTTATAAAACAGACTAACTTCCCATGCATCCCCCAGTCTAGATATGAATCTATATACTGTCAGTATAAGGCGGCAGGTAGCTTAGTGGGTAAGAGCCTTGTGCCAGTAACCGAAAGGTCGCTGGTTCTAATCCCCGAGCCGACTAGGTGAAAAATCTGTCGATGTGCCCCTTAAGCAAGGCACTTAACCCTAATGGCCACTGTAAGTTCGCTCTTGGATAAGAGCGTCTGCTAAATGACCTAAAATGTAAATTGTAAATGTCATTCAACTGTTATGAACTGTAATGGACTGTCATTCAGAACTGGTATATACTTAATGGACTGGTAATCCGGCTGTCATTCAGACTGTTATGGACTGTCATTCAGACTGTTATGTAATGTAATGGACTGTCATTCAGACTGTTATATACTGTAATGGACTGTCATTCAGACTGTTATGTAATGTAATGGACTGTCATTCAGACTGTTATATAATGTAATGTAATGGACTGTCATTCAGACTGTTATATACTGTAATGTAATGGACTGTCATTCAGACTCAGTGAAATTGATAGATTGATTAATGAAAGGGGCCTAGTCCACAGTATGAATGTTAACCGATGTAGCGTTAGGTAGGCAGGGACTTGTGGCTGGCTGGCTTCCAGCTGTTGGCTAATACTAGTGCAGATGATTCAGACATAGTGGTGGGCAGAACAATGGCCAATCCCCTTTCAGCTGTCAGTATTATTCTATGTGCCAATACCTGGCTAGATACTGCTGTCATACATCAACAGGATGTTAGGATGGGAGGTCAGATACATCAACAGGATGGGAGGTCAGATACATCAACAGGATGGGAGGTCAGATACATCAACAGGATGGGAGGTCAGATACATCAACAGGATGGGAGGTCAGATACATCAACAGGATGGGAGGTCAGATACATCAACAGGATGGGAGGTCAGATACATCAACAGGATGGGAGGTCAGATACATCAACAGGATGGGAGGTCAGATACATCAACAGGATGTTAGGATGGGAGGTCAGATACATCAACAGGATGGGAGGTCAGATACATCAACAGGATGGGAGGTCAGATACATCAACAGGATGGGAGGTCAGATACATCAACAGGATGGGAGGTCAGATACATCAACAGGATGGGAGGTCAGATACATCAACAGGATGGGAGGTCAGATACATCAACAGGATGGGGTCATACATCAACGATGGGAGGTCAGATACATCAACAGGATGGGAGGTCAGATACATCAACAGGATGTTAGGATGGGAGGTCAGATACATCACAGGATGGGAGGTCAGATACATCACGGTTAGGATGGGAGGTCAGATACATCAACAGGATGTTAGGATGGGAGGTCAGATACATCATAGGATGGGAGGTCAGATACATCGTAGGATGGGAGGTCAGATACATCGTTAGGATGGGAGGTCAGATACATCAACAGGATGGGAGGATGGGAGGTCAGATACATCAACAGGATGTTAGGATGGGAGGTCAGATACATCGTTAGGATGGGAGGTCAGATACATCGTTAGGATGGGAGGTCAGATACATCAACAGGATGTTAGGATGGGAGGTCAGATACATCAACAGGATGTTAGGATGGGAGGTCAGATACATCAACAGGATGGGAGGTCAGATACATCAACAGGATGTTAGGATGGGAGGTCAGATACATCAACAGGATGTTAGGATGGGAGGTCAGATACATCAACAGGATGGGAGGTCAGATACATCAACAGGATGTTAGGATGGGAGGTCAGATACATCAACAGGATGGGAGGTCAGATTCATCAACAGGATGTTAGGATGGGAGGTCAGATACATCAACAGGATGGGAGGTCAGATACATCAACAGGATGGGAGGTCAGATACATCAACAGGATGGGAGGTCAGATACATCAACAGGATGTTAGGATGGGAGGTCAGATACATCAACAGGATGTTAGGATGGGAGGTCAGATTCATCAACAGGATGGGAGGTCAGATTCATCAACAGGATGTTAGGATGGGAGGTCAGATACATCAACAGGATGTTAGGATGGGAGGTCAGATACATCAACAGGATGTTAGGATGGGAGGTCAGATACATCAACAGGATGGAGGAGGTCAGATACATCAACGAGTAGATGGGAGGTCAGATACATCAACAGGATGTTAGGATGGGAGGTCAGATTCATCAACAGGATGGGAGGTCAGATACATCAACAGGATGGGAGGTCAGATTCATCAACAGGATGGGAGGTCAGATACATCAACAGGATGTTAGGATGGGAGGGATGAGGGTGGTGTAGTTGAAGAAGATGTGAGACAGGGATGATGGTGGTGTAGTTGAAGAAGATGTAGTTCATGTTATCGTTGTTTATGAGGACATATTCTTCAACTATAGTTTATGGAGACACTCTTCAATGATGATGGATATTGGATGTGTTTACTTATTTAATGTACAGGGTCAAATGATTGGACACATGACACATGAATGAAAATGCAGGACGACACAAATGATTGGGACAGTTTTATTGATGCATCAAATAACATAAAAACAATACAATTATTCAAATGTCACTTTACTTTCATCACAAATTATAATCTTTAATGTTGAATACATTTGAATACATTAGGTTTTACTTACGTGGTAAAGTGTTTCTAAAATGTAAGCAAGGCTTCGAAAATTACATTTTAACCACCAAATTGTCTAGATACTAAAACCGTCACTTGTGATATACGGGGAACATAGCCTGAATAATAAATGTCTTCCCTACTCACCAGAGATCGTTTCTTCATGCATTCCATCACCATGAGGAAGATCTGCTGGGCCTGACCGCGGTTGTAGTTGAACGTCTTCTGTATGGTGACCAGGAGCTGGTCCTTCACGTTATCACTCACCAACCTGAGGGGAGACAGAGAGACGGTATAAAACCACGTCTACCAGTCTACTCTTTAGGGTTAGAAAATGCTCTAAACTTTATTTATTTTCTATTTACAAAATGTACCTCTGAAGTCTTCCATTCGAAGGTATTTTTTTGATGTGCTTTAGCTTGGAGTTCACACTTAGTGTTATCCAATTGGTTCCATTGTACCGGTAAACTAAATCAAGCACAGATCAAGTATGTGAAAGTATTTGACCATAGTCTGTTTCTGCTAGTGTGGATATTAGAACACAGACCTGTTCTAGTACTTTTTCTCACCCAGTCCTATTTACTGTATGTATCTGACATGTATCTGACATGTATTTGACATATATTTGACATATATCTGACATATATTTGATATGTATCAAACATATCATTTTTTACATGTATTTGACCCAGGTCTGTTTCTCACCCGTCGTCCTCGGAGTATCTGTGTGCGAAAGAGATGATGTCAGAGGCCCTTCCACTGCCATCACAGACCACCACCGGGACAGGGGGGTCTTCCCTCAGGCTCTCCAGGACTATGGAGATGACGTTGGGACCCCCCTCCAGGATCAGACAGACCAGAGGTACCCCCTGGCCCAGACCTGGCAGAGACAGACACAACAACATGACCCCTGACCCCTGACCTGGCAGAGACAGACACAACAACATGACCCCTGACCCCCTGACCTGGCAGAGACAGACACAACAACATGACCCCTGACCCCTGACCTGGCAGAGACAGACACAACAACATGACCCCTGACCCCTGACCTGGCAGAGACAGACACAACAACATGACCCCTGACCCCTGACCTGGCAAACCCTGACCCCTGACCTGGCAGAGACAGACACAACAACATGACCCCTGACCCCCTGACCTGGCAGAGACAGACACAACAACATGACCCCTGACCCCCTGACCTGGCAGAGACAGACACAACAACATGACCCCTGACCCCCCTGACCTGGCAGAGACAGACACAACAACATGACCCCTGACCCCCTGACCTGGCAGAGACAGACACAACAACATGACCCCTGACCCCTGACCTGGCAGAGACAGACACAACAACATGTTAGATGACGATAAAGACCTTTTTGTTTGTTTTTGTTTTTTAAATGGCAATAAACTTGAACCTTGAATACTTTCAAAATGCCTACTAATTCGTTGCTATTCATGTTGGTAGGCCTCAGACACAGCAGTGCTGCCTGCAGCTAGCATGTGGGCCCCACAGTATTAATGTCAGTGTAGTTGAAGACAGAGGTGACAGCTGAGCATCCCTTTGCTGTCCCTGCCTTATCATGAGCTCCAGGCATAGGATGACAAAGGGAAACCCACAGGTCACAGAGATCAGCTGCTCCTCAGGGTACAGCAGGGCAGGACAGGCTCTCTCTCTCTGACCCACAGGTCACAGATATCAGCTGCTCCTCAGGGTACAGCGGGGCAGGACAGGCTCTCTCTCTCTGACCCACAGGTCACAGATATCAGCTGCTCCTCAGGGTACAGCAGGGCAGGACAGGCTCTCTCTCTCTCTCTCTCTGAACAACACACCTGAAGAAGCCTGCGCTATGACAACATGAGGGTGTATATGCTGTATCCAAGACACTAACACCGTGTACAGTACCAACATTAGCATTCACATTAGATGGTCATGGTAAATAAGAAATTGTTCTCGCCCGAGACCCGAAGACTTGTGTTAGTTAGCTCCCTGAGCGAATGCCTTGGGCTTTAGCTCAGCGGGCTTCCACTGCCTCGTGTCGCACAGACGATCCCCCCCGATCTGTCAGACTTACGTGTGTTGATCTTCTGCAGGGAGATGTGTTTCTCCAGCTGACGGCGGAGGCGGACCTCTGCTCCGTACTTTCCGTGGGTCCCGTTATCTGCTAGGATGAAGTGGGAGTGGCTGTTGTTGAGGACAGACAGCTTGGACATGGGGTTGGACATGGTCTGGTACGGACGAGTCACCTGGGAGGGAGACATATCATAACACGTGTTAACATGTCACAGCACAGTCATCTGGGTGGAGGTGAGGAGTCGAGTCGAGTCGAGTTGAGGAGTCGAGTTGAGGAGTTGAGTTGAGGTGAGTTGAGGAGTTGAGTTGAGGAGTTGAGTTGAGGTGAGTTGAGTTGAGGAGTTGAGTTGAGGTGAGTTGAGGAGTTGAGTTGAGGAGTTGAGTCGAGTCGAGTTGAGGAGTTGCGTTGAGGTGAGGTGAGTTGAGGAGTTGAGTCGAGTCGAGTTGAGGAGTCGAGTCGAGTTGAGTTGAGGAGTTGCGTTGAGGTGAGGAGTTCAGTTCAGTTGAATTGAATTTAAATGAACAAGGTGCAGTTCTCTGTGACTTACATCTCTTCCTATCAGATCCTCCCTGTTCTCCACGATGCCCCATGGAGCGATCCCGATGGCACATACTTTCCCTCTGGACTTAGAGGAGTGGTCCTTCAACGCATCTCCAACATGCCGGATCACTCCTAGGATACACATGGAGCCCGTTTAGCACCAATAAGGGACGTGGACTCCATTCAGACATTTAGTAGAATGGATTTGGACTTGGACTCAGACTTGAACACTAGGGACTTGGACTCAGACTTGAACACTAGGGACTTGGACTCAGACTTGAACACTAGGGACTTGGACTCAGACTTGAACACTAGGGACTTGGACTCAGACTTGAACACTAGGGACTTGGACTATACTTGAACACCAGGGACTTGGACTCAGACTTGAACACTAGGGACTTGGACTCAGACTTGAACACTAGGGACTTGGACTCAGACTTGAACACTAGGGACTTGGACTCAGACTTGAACACTAGGGACTTGGACTCAGACTTGAACACTAGGGACTTGGTACTCGACTTGGACTCAAGATTTAGGGACTTGCCTACATTAATGTTGTTTTATAGATACCACAGTGACCATTTCAGTGAATGTAACACATTGTTAACAACTACAGTACGTACCAGTGCTGACTCCGCCAGTGAGTATCCATGCTCCGGTGGTGACTGCAGCCTGGATCAGACCCTTTCCAAACACCTGTTTTAGTTTGGGCTGCAGGTCAAAGTTCTGCAGCCCCCCGTGGACAGAGATGAGCAGGGTGGGGAGATCCAGCTGCCAGTCTTTCACCATCATGTGGAGCAGGTTGTCTGGCTTGGAGTCGTACGCCACACGGATGTACTGAGGGGGAGAGATGGAGAGAAAGAGAGATGGAGAGAGAGAGAGAGAGAGAGAGAGAGAGTTTACTGTTAATATTTATTGTTTATTTCACTTTTGTTTACTATCTACTTCACTTGCTTTGGCAATGTTAACACACGTTTCCCATGCCGATAAAGCCCTTAAATTGAATTGAAATTGAATTGAGAGAGAGAGAGGATATTTAATAGAAACGCCACATGGATGTACTGTAGGGGAGAGATGGAGAGAGAGAGGGAACAAACAAACAGTCTAGAGACATAGATGATGGTGGCATGGTTCATGTCTTCATGGTTCATGTCTTCATGGTTCATGTCTTCATGGTTCATGTCTTCATGGTTCATGTCTTCATGGTTCATGTTCATGGTTCATGTCTTCATGTCTTCATGGTTCATGTCTTCATGTCTTCATGGTTCATGTCTTTATGTCTTCATGGTTCATGTCTTCATGGTTCATGTCTTCATGGTTCATCTCTTCATGGTTCATGTCTTCATGGTTCATGTTCATGGTTCATGTCTTTATGTCTTCATGGTTCATGTCTTCATGGTTCATGTCTTCATGGTTCATGTCTTCATGGTTCATGTCTTCATGTCTTCATGGTTCATGTCTTCATGTCTTCATTCTTCATGTCTTCATGGTTCATGTCTTCATGTCTTTATGGTTCATGTCTTCATGGTTCATGTCTTCATGTCTTCATGTCTTCATGTCTTCATGTCTTCATGTCTTCATGTCTTCATGGTTCATGTCTTCATGGTTCATGTCTTCATGGTTCATGTCTTCATGTCTTCATGTCTTCATGTCTTCATGGTTCATGTCTTCATGTCTTCATGTCTTCATGGTTCATGTCTTCATGTCTTCATGGTTCATGGTTCATGTCTTCATGTCTTCATGGTTCATGTTTTCACGTCTTCATGGTTCATGTCTTCACGTCTTCATGGTTCATGTCTTCATGGTTCATGTTTTCACGTCTTCATGGTTCATGTCTTCATGGTTTATGAGGACATATTTTATTTAAACTATTGTTTATGTTGAGGAGAGATGAGAGAGACAAGGAATGATTGAGGAGGAGAGGAAAAGGAGAGAGAGAAGGAATGATTGAGGAGGAGAGGAAAAGGAGAGAGAGAAGGAATGATTGAGGAGGAGAGGAAAAGGAGAGAGAGAGAAAGAGAATGTTACGTAACCATGGCCTTGTTGACATGTCCTCCTCCCTGGAGCTCCATGATGCCGTATGCGTCTGTGGGCGTGGCCTGTGTGTGTTTAAGCACGGACCAGCGTTCCTTGGGCGCTGCCACCTGCGCGATCTGACCTGCCTCTTCCGCCGCCCTGGTGGTCGCTCCCGGGATGATAGCCACATGCTGGTTCACTACCTGACCACAACTGCACCTGGAGGTAGAAAGGGAGGACATAGAAGGGGTTATACATGCTTACTGCGGGCGTTATAATGCATTATAACCACTTCATAATGCTTTCTACATGTTGGTTTATAAAGTGTTAATAGAAGCGTGCCGTGACGGAATGTTGAAAGACAAAAAACAGACAAATCATGTAAATAGCTATGAAAGATGGCTAGTATTGCTTTCACAACGCAGCATCGAGCTACTTCACCGCGGTACTAACAGCTGTTAGCTGTTGTGTGCTGTCCAATTTCAGTTGCATCTCTGTTTGCTCAGAGATAGCTGAGGGGGGCTGTCACGTTAAGAGCCACAAAAATCACCACCATCGTAAGGGATTTGGGCCACGTAATGGCCGGTTGTTGTTGATCCAATTTCTTACTGAGAGCGTTTCTGTACGAGTGGAGAATTCATTAAGCCCACGTCCCAAATAGCACCACGTTCCCTTTATAGTGCGCTACTTTTGACCAGAGCCCAATAGGGCAGGGCACTATGTATGGAATAGGGTGCCATTTGGGACGTACACTACGTTATCCAGCACTCTAAAAACACAGAGTTTTTTTTTTTTAAACTGGGTCAGTGAAAGCACTCTCTCAGCCTCAACAGATGATCTGGTGCTTAACATGGAAGCATATGAGAGCAGTGAGGAGCAAGGAAAGTGGGTTCTGTGAAAACAGTGGCATGAACGGTACCTGTTGGGTTCTGTGAAAACAGTGGCATGAACGGTACCTGTTGGGTTCTGTGAAAATAGTGGCATGAACGGTACCTGTTGGGTTCTGTGAAAACAGTGGCATGAACGGTACCTGTTGGGTTCTGTGAAAACAGTGGCATGAACGGTACCTGTTGGGTTCTGTGAAAACAGTGGCATGAACGGTACCTGTTGGGTTCCGTGAAAACAGTGGCATGAACGGTACCTGTTGGGTTCCGTGAAAACAGTGGCATGAACGGTACCTGTTGGGTTCTGTGAAAACAGTGGCATGAACGGTACCTGTTGGGTTCCGTGAAAACAGTGGCATGAACGGTACCTGTTGGGTTCCGTGAAAACAGTGGCATGAACGGTACCTGTTGGGTTCTGTGAAAACAGTGGCATGAACGGTACCTGTTGGGTTCCGTGAAAACAGTGGCATGAACGGTACCTGTTGGGTTCCGTGAAAACAGTGGCATGAACGGTACCTGTTGGGTTCCGTGAAAACAGTGGCATGAACGGTACCTGTTGGGTTCCGTGAAAACAGTGGCATGAACGGTACCTGTTGGGTTCCGTGAAAACAGTGGCATGAACGGTACCTGTTGGGTTCCGTGAAAACAGTGGCATGAACGGTACCTGTTGGGTTCTTTGCTGGGAAATATTTGGATGCATTCTCTTTTCTGAAACGTCTTCTCAATCCAAGCTTTTTGGGCCTGCAAGAGAGAGGTTCATGGTTTAGACTTCAAATCTCTCAACTCAGATAAATATCAATGTCGTAAAGAAAAGGCCACCATTGGGATCCATCTCAATAATTAAATACTTTAAATAGCTCGGATACATTGAAATAACAACAGTTACTCTCCCTGCCTTCACACTGTGGCTCTGTCCCATGTGACCCCCCTATTCTATTAACAGTGCACTACTTTGGACCGGAGCCCAATGGGTCTAGCTAATTACTGGTAGAATGCTGCTTTCTATTGCAACAGCCAGGCACCAGAACCTCTCTGTTCTTGGTGGAACAAATCCACTTAACTACCTACAGCGCTGGTCACCTAATCCTGCCTACAGCGCTGGTCACCTAATCCTGCCTGCAGCGCTGGTCACCTAATCCTGCCTACAGCGCTGGTCACCTAATCCTGCCTACAGCGCTGGTCACCTAATCCTGCCTACAGCGCTGGTCACCTAATCCTGCCTGCAGCGCTGGTCACCTAATCCTGCCTACAGCGCTGGTCACCTAATCCTGCCTAAATGCTCCAGCAAAGAACAGGGAAGGAGTAAAACCAGGCAGTAAGTGTGTGTGTGTGTGTGTGTGTGTGTGTGTGTGAGAGAGAGAGAGTGAGTGAGTGAGTGAGTGAGTGAGTGAGTGAGTGTAAGTGTGTGTGTGTGTGTGTGTGTGTGTGTGTGTGTGTGTGTGTGTGTGTGTGTGTGTGTGTGTGTGTGTGTGTGTGTGTGTGTGTGTGTGTGTGTGTGTGTGTGTGTGTGAGAGAGAGAGTGAGTGAGTGTTTGTGTGTGTGTGTGTGTGTGTGTGCGTGTGTGTGTGTGTGTGTGTGATTTTGTGCTTGTGCATGTGTGCATTGAAGCGTGTATGTGAAGCCAAACAGTCCTAATGACTTTGTGTTGTGATTACGCCATAGTGATTAACCGTTCCCTCTACAGCAGAAGCCATGGGCAGGGGTCCTGTCTGCAGCAGAAGCCATGGGCAGGGGTCCTGTCTATAGCAGAAGCCATGGGCAGGGGTCCTGTCTATAGCAGAAGCCATGGGCAGGGGTCCTGTCTACAGCAGAAGCCATGGCCAGGGGTCCTGTCTATAGCAGAAGCCATGGGCAGGGGTCCTGTCTATAGCAGAAGCCATGGGCAGGGGTCCTGTCTATAGCAGAAGCCATGGGCAGGGGTCCTGTCTGCAGCAGAAGCCATGGGCAGGGGTCCTGTCTGCAGCAGAAGCCATGGGCAGGGGTCCTGTCTACAGCAGAAGCCATGGGCAGGGGTCCTGTCTACAGCAGAAGCCATGGCCAGGGGTCCTGTCTGCAGCAGAAGCCATGGCCAGGGGTCCTGTCTATAGCAGAAGCCATGGGCAGGGGTCCTGTCTATAGCAGAAGCCATGGGCAGGGGTCCTGTCTATAGCAGAAGCCATGGGCAGGGGTCCTGTCTATAGCAGAAGCCATGGGCAGGGGTCCTGTCTATAGCAGAAGCCATGGGCAGGGGTCCTGTCTATAGCAGAAGCCATGGCCAAGGGTCCTGTCTATAGCAGAAGCCATGGCCAGGGGTCCTGTCTATAGCAGAAGCCATGGGCAGGGGTCCTGTCTATAGCAGAAGCCATGGGCAGGGGTCCTGTCTATAGCAGAAGCCATGGCCAGGGGTCCTGTCTGCAGCAGAAGCCATGGGCAGGGGTCCTGTCTATAGCAGAAGCCATGGGCAGGGGTCCTGTCTATAGCAGAAGCCATGGGCAGGGGTCCTGTCTATAGCAGAAGCCATGGCCAGGGGTCCTGTCTATAGCAGAAGCCATGGGCAGGGGTCCTGTCTATAGCAGAAGCCATGGCCAGGGGTCCTGTCTGCAGCAGAAGCCATGGGCAGGGGTCCTGTCTATAGCAGAAGCCATGGGCAGGGGTCCTGTCTATAGCAGAAGCCATGGCCAGGGGTCCTGTCTGCAGCAGAAGCCATGGGCAGGGGTCCTGTCTGCAGCAGAAGCCATGGGCAGGGGTCCTGTCTATAGCAGAAGCCATGGCCAGGGGTCCTGTCTGCAGCAGAAGCCATGGGCAGGGGTCCTGTCTGCAGCAGAAGCCATGGGCAGGGGTCCTGTCTGCAGCAGAAGCCATGGGCAGGGGTCCTGTCTGCAGCAGAAGCCATGGGCAGGGGTCCTGTCTGCAGCAGAAGCCATGGCCAGGGGTCCTGTCTGCAGCAGAAGCCATGGGCAGGGGTCCTGTCTGCAGCAGAAGCCATGGGCAGGGGTCCTGTCTATAGCAGAAGCCATGGCCAGGGGTCCTGTCTATAGCAGAAGCCATGGGCAGGGGTCCTGTCTGCAGCAGAAGCCATGGCCAGGGGTCCTGTCTGCAGCAGAAGCCATGGGCAGGGGTCCTGTCTATAGCAGAAGCCATGGCCAGGGGTCCTGTCTATAGCAGAAGCCATGGGCAGGGGTCCTGTCTATAGCAGAAGCCATGGGCAGGGGTCCTGTCTATAGCAGAAGCCATGGGCAGGGGTCCTGTCTGCAGCAGAAGCCATGGGCAGGGGTCCTGTCTATAGCAGAAGCCATGGGCAGGGGTCCTGTCTATAGCAGAAGCCATGGCCAGGGGTCCTGTCTATAGCAGAAGCCATGGGCAGGGGTCCTGTCTATAGCAGAAGCCATGGGCAGGGGTCCTGTCTATAGCAGAAGCCATGGGCAGGGGTCCTGTCTGCAGCAGAAGCCATGGCCAGGGGTCCTGTCTGCAGCAGAAGCCATGGGCAGGGGTCCTGTCTATAGCAGAAGCCATGGGCAGGGGTCCTGTCTATAGCAGAAGCCATGGCCAGGGGTCCTGTCTGCAGCAGAAGCCATGGGCAGGGGTCCTGTCTATAGCAGAAGCCATGGCCAGGGGTCCTGTCTATAGCACAGCACTTTGGGAAATACATTCACTCTGGATAATGGTGGATTAAACCCAAGTCCCAGCAAAGAGTGCATGGGCAGTTTCACATCTATACTGCACATGACATATAGTTAGTATTTATATTTTCTAAAACGGTAACTAACCTCAACATAGCTTTAGTCAAGCTTTAAAAAATAAAATAAATAAAATAAAATAAAAAATAGATTTTTATGTAAAAGTTTATTCTTTGCAAATGGTTAAAAGAGTAAAACAATTGGTAAATATAGGCCTCGTTTATCTGTGGATAATATCGAACTCATCTAGTCAACGACTCGACAGAGTTGAGAGTCACCAGACCACATTCCACAACTCGTGGTTATTATCATCATCACCCTGGTCATCAGTATAGTTAATAAACTACATACTACAACTCAGAGCGGAATCAATTTCAACTTGTTTAAAATCTAGTTTCGACACGTTTCTGGGAAAGAAAGGTGAAAGACAACAAAGAGAACAGTAAACGCTGTAACTAACAGAGAAGAGAGGAAGTTGGCCAAAACTCTGCCATGATAACTCCCAAATGCCCCACACACTGTGTACTGAGTACACTGCAGCTTAGTTAGATTGACCACAGATTGACCAAAGTTTTAGGTTGACCAATGTTTTGATACTAATTTACTTTACAACAATTAAATTATTAACTTTTAATCAGGGTGCCTCCAAAATCAGCATTTTGTTCAGAGATCCCATTCCTCATGTGGAGCTTTTTGGAGGCTAAGAGGCTTTAGAGGTTATTTGTTCATTGGTGGAACTGTCTCTAAATTGCTTTTTTTTCCCCGGATCATTTCAACAGATTTCTACTCCATTTCCTCTATATGTTGGTCTCCCTAAATAAGTTGGTGGAACATAAACTCAGTTCCACTCTATGGCACCTCAAACTAATCCCTGCCTAGAATAAATGAACAAAGTTGACCATAAACAGTTTCTACACCAAAGAAAGATTCAGTTTCCTTGATAAATCAGATAAATCAAGAACCACTTACCCTCAGTTGAAGAGCAACCAGTAGAAACTTCAAGAGGAGCACAAGAGCAACTCAACACTCTTAACACCCAACTACTAGTTGAGAAGACTCAAGAACTCAAAGAACTGAAGAACTCAAAGAACTGAAGAACTCAAAGAACTCAAGAACTCTAAGAACTGAAGAACTCAAAGAACTGAAGAACTCAAAGAACTGAAGAACTCTAAGAACTCAAGAACTCTAAGAACTCTCAAGAAACTTCCCAGCGGCCCATCTCAGCTCCGGCTCTCTAGCTGCTCTCACCCGGGTCCTCCTAGCACCTACTGAAGCCCAGCAGATATGAAACGACATGACTTTATGAAGCGGGGCTCATATGATGAGCATGTGAGCCGGCTCTTTGTTCAAGCCTTGGTCTCATGACTTCAGTTCAAGGTAATCCTTTTGGGAGTCCCATGACCCGTCTCGCTCCCTGTTCCCCTCCTTGCTCACAGGGCATTTTCATCCTGGGCTGGAATGAGAACCAGAAAGAACCAACACCCCCCCCCCCCCCCCCCCCCCCTCTCCTTCCTCACTAATCTCTCTAACTCTCACTCTGTTAGACAATGTTCTTCTCTCCAACTCTCTCCTGGTGTTGCAATCCACAGTAATAATGTAAATGGTCGCAGAGACGAAGAAGGAAAGAGAAAGAAAGAGGAAGTTCTAATAACCAGAAAAACATATTTAAAAAGTCGTGTTACAAAATGAATGTTTTATTGTGGAGTATGTGTCACACCCCCTACTGCTCTGTTTGAAATCTATTTGCATAATTGAGAGAATTGGACACATTGGATGGGTGTTGTTGAAAGGGGTCTTGTTGAAGAATGACAGAGCGCTATCTGCAGCCAGGCATGGTCACCCGTTGATGACTGTAACATGTATTGGAACGTATATTTTCTTTTAGCAGCTTCGTTATGGTTGGACTTTTGGAGGAACTTCTTTGTTATGGTCCAACTTTTGCCAAAGGATGTCTGGCTAAAGCCTGTTGTCTTGGTGAAACAGAGAGACAAAGAATCAGAGGGGGAAAAACGTTGTTCAGAGGACATTCATTGTACCCTGTTAACCTTCAAATGATAAGAATCAAAAGTTTGAACAGAGGGCATGGACTTCTGTCTAACTACTGAATAAAACATTTTTTGGGTTCTGACTCACTTAAACTTAGGTTACTAACATGAATTTAACAAGGAAAAGTGTGCATGTTTTGAGTTTGTGACAGAAACGAGGTTGAAAATATCTTATTTTAAAAGACAAAAGGTTGCTGATCAAACGTTGTGGTAAAAAACAAAGAATGTCTTTCATACCACCCAGAGTAAACTGGCGAGGGTTGTGTTTTGAAAACACGTGCACCTCGCCCTGCTGCACAGCTCCCTGGGTAAAATCACCGACCTATCACACGCTCTTAGAAAAAAAAAAGGTGCTATCTAGAACCTAAAAGGTTTCTTCAGCCGTCCCCATAGGAGAACCCTTTGAATAACCCTTTTTGATTCCAGATAGAACCCTTTTGGGTTTTGTGTAGAACCCTTTCCACAGAGGGTTCTACACGGAACCAAAAATGGTTATCCAATGGGGACAGCTGAAGAACCCTTTTGGAACCCTTTTTTTCTAACATTTTACATTTTAGTCATTTAGCAGACGCTCTTATCCAGAGCGACTTACAGTTAGTGAGTGCATACATTTTTCATACTGGCCCCCCCCCCGTGGGGGAACGGACCCACAACCCTGGCGTTGCAAGCGCCATGCTCTACCAGCTGAGCTACAGGGGACAGGCTTACCTAAACCCTTCATCCACACCATTTAAAAATGGAAACCCCCCACGAGAAATGTATAACTGTGTTACTACGAACCTCTGTGAGCAGTGAACAACAAGCCTGGAAGAATAAGGCCTTAGTGCAACACATGGGGAATAGGGTACCGTTTGGGATGCATCCTTAGATACTTTACAATCAGATTAGGGTAAGCAAATTAACATGACTAGCCTCTAGACCCAAAACAATCAACCGTATGTGTTTGGGGGACAAAACAAATATTGTATTCAGTATTTTAGTGGAATGACTATTTGAAAACAAAAGACAATTGTACAGTGTGTGATTAGACTAAAATAGGATCTGGTCCTTAAGGGATTTAGACTTAGAGAACAGATTATTAGCGCTTTGGTTAAAGC